GGACGTTAAACCCCATTATCAGATTTAAAAAAACCTATTATTATGTCACCGTTACACCCTAAGGACGACGGAGTTCGAATTTCATGAAAATTGGCCCAAAATTGACAGACAAAATGGCCGCCGTTCGTTCTCAAATAGCGTAAAAATATGGTATATCAAGGATGTGGACCCTATAGAGGTCACAAATTTGATCCGATTTTGATGAAACTTGAAATACATATTTATAACCCAAAGATCTTGGTTCCTTTCGATATTCGCACATATTGGATCATAACTTCCTGAATTATGGCCCTTGACTGTACGAAAAAATCACTTCTTTTTTTGAGCTTGTTCTCTGTCCATCTCTTGCAAAATGTGGGCGTATTTTGCATGGCAACCGCTTGTTATCCGATTTTGTTGAAACTTTATAATATCGAAAGGAACCGAGATCTTTGGGTTATAAACTTACATTTCAAGATCTCGGTTCCTTTCAATATTTGCGCATATCAGACCGTAACTTCCTGAATTATGGCCCCTGATTGTACGAAAAATGACCTTTTTAGCTTGTGGACCCTATAGAGGTCATAATTTTTATCCGATTTAAAAAAACGTATTATTATATGTGTTTTCAAATAAAGTTCTATCCCTGATGTAATGGATCGAAACTTCAAGGATTATGGCCCCTGTTTGTACGAAAAATTACCTTTTTAGCTTGTGGACCCTATAGAGGTCATAATTTTTATCCGATTTAAAAAAACGTATTATTATATGTGTTTTCAAATAAAGTTCTATCCCTGATGTAATGGATCGAAACTTCAAGGATTATGGCCCCTGTTTGTACGAAAAATCAAGTTTTTAGCTTGTGGACACTATAGAGGTCACAATTTTTATCCGATTTTGTTGAAACTTAAAATGTAAGTTTATAACCCAAAGATCTCGGTTCCTTTCGATATTCGCGCATATCGGACCGTAACTTCCTGAATTATGGCCCCTGATTGTACGAAAAATCAGTTTTTAGCTTGTGGACCCTATAGGTCATAATTTTTATCTGATTTAAAAAAAAACGTATTATTATATATCCGTTACACCCTAAGGACGGCTGAGTTCGAATTTCGTGAAAATCGGCCCAAATAGCGTAAAAATATGGTATATCAAGGTTGTGGACCCTATAGTAGATATTGCTCTCTATTTCTGAAAACTAATGACTAGGCAACTGTTATAACTGATCATCCAGTCTCTTTTCTCATAATATATTATAACGACTCGTACTCGGGTTCAGCAATTGGAATAAATTTTTATACGTTCAAGTGGTTGTTTTTTTTACAATTTTAAGTAGCTTATTTTTAAAATCATACAAACCAATATCAATCAAAAGTATACATTAGCTGATATTTTCGTATTTAGACAACTACGCTTATTAATGGAAACAGGTACAATCACAATGCCCAATTATAGCCTAACATATTCGAGGCTGGTCAATCTAGTCAATGCTCAACTCCCCGGATGTTTAAATTTTCTTGCTTGTTATGCCGTCATGGATCATCATAGCTTCAATCTATGAATTAATTTTATTTTTAAATATGTCCAACACGCAAGATTCTAGGGAAGGGTCAAACATACTCCGATTTTTTTGGAAAGTGGAGATGATATTAGTTTATCAACCATACATACTCCGATTTTTTTGGAAAGTGGAGATGATGATATTAGTTTATCAACCAAATGTAGCTAATGTTATTTTGCGTGAATGATCGGAAATCCAAATTATAATTTGATTCTATTCTATGTAAATAATCTGATATTGAAATTCTCTGTGTGTGAATAATCGGATATTCAAATTTCCAAATCGTTTGTGAATAATACGTAATTCTGTATATGAATAATCAGATATTTTCAAACAGTTGATTAAATGCATCTTCATAAAGACTAAAGGTTTTAGTTTACAGTAGTGATTACTTCATTTCATTTTGATTTGTTAACACAGCTGCTGAGTTTTTTTAGTTTTTTTTTGCAACAGAAAACTGAATAGATTTATATAAACATGTACACCAAACTGAAACGTACAGTTATACTCAGAAAGAGCTACTATTATAACATTTTGTTTATAAAAACTACTACTATAACTACTTATTTGGAATTGTTAAAATAAAAGTTGGAAACAAATTGTGACTTTTATGGTGTATTGTCTGGAAAATTCCATTATCGTCATTATTATATATTTATATTAAATTATTGCGATAAAAGAGAATTATCATGATAAAATACATAATCGCAATACTGCTATTTATCACAATAGTTTCAAAAGCTGTTATCGTGAATAATCGTGATAAAATAATTTGATATCCTTGCAACCTTAATGGAATATCAATTCACAGAATTTCAAACTCTGATCACAGTAGCTCGGCAAGGCAGGGTCGCTACTCACTGTAAAGTTTGCACAACAATCTTTGCCTACCTCAATCAGCTGCTGTATAAAAACAATAAACTTATACATCAGAAAATAAAATACTATAATAGATTAATGCTTGTACAAAGTTTCAAAAAGATTTCTTGAACAGATAATAAAATATGCTCCAGAAACAAAATCAGGACGGAAGGCTGGATTTCAGAAAATAAAATAATGGGTTGATGAATTTAAAATTATTTTAAAAGTATCTTGAACAGTCAAATGTGTTTCCATGGAAACACATAAAATTATCAAATCTGAGAAATTCAAATTAAGTGCCAAGAAGATATCTTGAACGATTTATGAGATATGCTCCGGAAACAAAATTATACACCAAAAACTAAGTCAAATTTGTTTCCATGGAAACACAAAAAATATAAGCTTAAATCCCAGAAATTCCTAAATAGCAAAAGGCACAACTACTGTAATAGGTTGATGTGTGTGCATCAGAAAGATATCTTAAACGGTTTATGAGATATGCTCCGGAAACAAAATTGTACACCAAAAACTAAGTCAAATTTGTTTCCATGGAAACACAAAAAATATAAATTTGTTTCCATGGAAACACAAAAAAATATAAATCCCAGAAATTCCTAAATAGCAAAAGGCACAACTACTGTAATAGGTTGATGTGTGTGCAAAGTTTCAGAAAGATATCTTGAAGTTGAACGGTTTATAAGATATGCTCCAGAAACAAAATTGTACACCATAACCTAAGTCATTTTTGTTTCCATGGAAACACAAAACATATTAATCCCAGAAATTCCTAAATAGCGAAAGGCACAACTACTGTAATAGATTGATATGTGTGCAAAGTTTCAGAAAGATATCTTGAACAGTTTATGAGATATGCTCCGGAAACGAAATCGGACGGACGGACCCCATTTCAATATCCCTCCCTAACTACGTTTGGCGCGGGATAAAAATTCCTAAATAGCAAAAGGCACAACTACTGTAATAGGTTGATATGTGTGCAAAGTTTCAGAAAGATATCTTGAACGGTTTATGAGATATGCTCCGGAAACGAAATCGGACGGACCCCATTTCAATATCCCTCCCTAACTTTGTTTGGCGCGGGATACTAATGGAATCCCTTGTAACCTACTGGTAATACATGATGTATATTGTAGGGGGTGGGGGTGTGCTATTCATCGTAGCCCGTTTGTAATTTAGCCATGACAACGGCACCTATTTTGTGTGAAAATCCAGATTGCGTGAATAGTCAGACTTTTTAAAATTTCGCGGTGGGCGGCGGTTTAAAATAATCGGGGAGGTCGGCGGTTTACTTAAATTCGCAGAGGAATTTTGAGCGTGGCCAGAGCGGATTGATTAACTGACCTCCCCGATTTTTCATTTCTGTCCAGGTCGGACCTCCGGGAAATTTAGTACTTCCGCTAGACTAGTCTAGTACTGTATCTCGCTGACTCTCCTGTGGAAGAATTATCCGTTGCAATGTCTATCAAGTTATCGGTAGTTGAAGATCTGTTAAGGGTACTGCGTGTATCATCCTCCAACTTTTTGAAGAAAAATGTTATTTTTGGCATAGTGCTAGCCTGCAAATTTGGACTGGATTACGTGTTTATGTAAATACCAAGGCCCGGTGACTTGCGCAGGATTTATCGTCTGCTAAAAGCCGTGGATCTCGCTCTAGCGTGAAATTTTTAAGTCTCGAATAAGCTGACCTATTTTTGTCGTACAGATAGCCCAGAGTAAAAATAACAGAATAACTGTCTGGGGTGATCATGACTTCGATTTTCCGGATGTTTACAGTCTAGAACATCGTGGAACTGGCTACTCAGTTTTTACATCAGTTACGATGATCTACATTTCTTTTAAAAAAATTGGGACGGACAAATTAACAGGAACAATAAAATTTGTGCCTGACATGGCGTAAAATTGGGACGGACAACGTCCGTGTCCGGCCGCTTGTGTCCAGGCTTGTCTACAAGATTGATAGCAATGGGTGTTTTTCTGTTCTAGACGGGTTTTCCATGCAATTTTTATCTTCTCTTTTGCTATGCTTGCAAATTCCTGACTGCGAATGCGATGGGTGTTTTCTTGTTTTAGACAGGTTTTCCATGCTAGTTTTATCTTCTCTTTTGCAATGCTTGCAAATTCCTGACTGCTATATTCTAAATTGTCTAGTTTATTTAATGACAACCCCTCCTTCGCTAGATATTGACATAAGAAGGGATCCATGCCAGGATCACCTCCCTCCCATTGATTTTAATCTTTTGATTTAGGTCCCTAACTTCGTGAATTATGCCCTGTCTGTTTTTGGAGGAGTTTGATTCTTCTATAGATTTGATGCTACTATAGATTTGATGCTACTCAGGGAGTCAAACCGGCTTACGGCTTTTTGGTGTGTACTGTGTTTCCATAGCTAGCCATTCCAGTGCAGTTTTAATGGCCATCAGTCCTGCGGTGTAATCTTTTGGCTATTATTAGCTTACATCTATTATACGAAACAGGTACTGTATGTAGGCCAACCGATTGCTGAGTAATGATAAATGTTCAATAAAATTATCATTGCTTTCATTTTACACAGTATCTCTGATTAATTTATTTTCTCTGGCAGGTCAATGGTGTCGATATTCCAACTCAAAATGGATTGGAATCTGGTGTTATGTCAATCACGCAAGGAGTGGGAGAGCTTACATTTGAGGAAGAGGAAGAAGAACAATTCTTTATGAAAGATTTACCTAAACATGCATGCTCGTAAGTTTTGAATTGGAATGATCCAGACTTAACACAACTCTGCTTCTAATTAAGGGAGAGTAACGAACTTGGTGTAAGCTTATAAAAAAGTTTCATTACATCAATACCTTGACTAAATTTGCTAATGAGGTTGTTGTGCAGAGTAAAAAACAATTATATTGCTGGATGCTTTATGAAAAGATAAATATTAGACTGGAGGCTCAGTGCAGTGGGTGTCCATCAAATGGGCACAAAACCAGATCAAACTTTTCTACAGTAAAATTTTGCATGGAATATATATGTTGCCAAATGGTAATCAGTCTGCCGTTGGGTCGTTTTCGAGATATTCAGGGTCAAAGATCAAATGGGGTCATTTATACTGAAAGTGAATGCGCAACCATTTTTATACGCCCACATTGAAATGTGGTCGTATACTATTCAAAAAAAGTAGGGGATATTTGATTTTGGGGGCATAATACTAAAATATGCAAATGACTACGAAAAAAGTCACTATAGAACCTAACAGAAGAAACATTTCCAGTTACATGTGACGCCCAAACGCACCAATAGCTACCGCATGGAATACAGGTGATGCTTGGGATCATCATGGGGGTCCAACCCAAGATTTGCACGACTCTGACTTTGAATGTTACAGTCATTGTGGCATTGAATTCCAGGGTGGAAACATCATTTTAATTGTTTTAGTGACCAGAAAACAAATTTTGATATGCGTCGGCTTACCCAAAATGAAAGGTTACGTGCCCTTGGCATGCTACAGATCGGCACAACACAGGCGGTTGTGGCGCGGACGATGAATGTTTCTCAGTCTGTCATAAGCAGGCTATGGTCCAGATACCGTGATACACAATCTGTACAGGACAGACCACGCTCAGGTCGACCAAGGGCGACAACTCAAGCCCAGGATCGATTTATCCGTACCTTGGCCTTGAGAAATCGTGTCATCACAGCAAATCAGATCAGCGCTCGTCTTCAAACAGACACTGGTGTGAGAGTGAGTGGCCAGACGATTCGGAATCGACTGCATAGGGGTCACCTTCGCGCCCGACGTCCTCGCGTGATCCCTTGTTTGAGAGATCATCACATTCAGGCAAGACGTCGTTGGTGTAGGGATCGTCAACACTGGGATAATCGACACTGGAGCAATGTGATGTTTTCAGATGAGTCAAGGTTCAGTGTTGATTTTTTGGACAGACGTAGGAGGGTGTGGCGTCGTCGAAACGAGCGCTTCCAAGACGTGATCGATTTGGGGGTGGTTCTGTTATGGTGTGGGGAGGCATCACTGTTGCTGGAAGAACGGCTTTACATGTTGTTGCAGGGCGTGTTACAGGCCAGTACTACCGGGACAACATCTTGGCAGTCCATGTTGTGCCGTTCGCACGACGTCATGGCCGCCGTTTCATCTTTCAGGATGACAACGCAAGATGTCACAGGGCCAGGATCGTTACAGGTTACCTCCAACAACAGAATATCACCACATTACCTTGGCCAGCACTGAGTCCCGACCTCTCCCCCATCGAGCATGTCTGGGACATGCTTGGACAGAGGTTACGTCAACGTCAACAACGTCCTGCCAATGTCCAAGAACTTGCTGCTGCGTTGCAACAGGAATGGGACAATCTGGACCAAAATGACCTTAGACGTCTCATTAGGAGTATGCCACGTCGGATCAATGCTTGTTTGGCAAACAGAGGAGGATTTACCCGTTACTGACTTGGTTGTGATGCTGTGGTAACTTTGTTGTTTGACCCCGGGTATCATTTTACCCTAATATAATGGTCAGTCTGTGCCTTACTTAGTCTAACGATCATTTGGAATAAATCGATGAATGTGAACTTCATTTCATTTTGTCATTTGTTTCTTCGTCAGTTTCATTAGGTGACTTTAATAACACTTAAAAATCAAATATCCCCTACTTTTTTTGAATAGTATATATTGTCGTCGCCCCCGTCCGTCCGTTCGGCGCTCCGTCGGTCTGGCGTCCACAATTGCTTGTGGACGCTTTACAGGCTAAAGTAAATATCCGATTGACTTTAAATTCAGCGATTTCCGATAATTACTGCCAGAGTTATAGCCCTTGATCACTTCAAAAAATCTTGTGGACGTTCTAAAGACCCAAGTTAATATCCGATTGCCTTTAAATTCATACACAGTGTTTAAGGTCATGAGACGAAGAAGCCTATTGACTTTCAGCGATCCGATAATTACTGCCAGAGTTATGGCCCTTGATCGCTTCAAAAAATCTTGTGGACACTCTTGAGGTCAAAGTTAATATCCGATTGACTTTAAATTTAAATACACAGTGTTTAAGGTCATGAGACGAAGAAGCCTATTGATTTTCAGCGTTTTCCGATAATTACTTCCAGAGTTATGGCCCTTGATCACTTCAAAAAATCTTGTGGACGCTCTTGAGGTCAAAGTTAATATCCCATTGACTTTTAATTTATACACAGTGTTTAAGGTCATGACAATATATAAGATGGCTGCCTCTAGTTGTTGCATTGTGTCTTTCACTCCAAGTTTCTGGAAATTTTAGTCTTATTTAGAGTTAATTTTGGATTACAATTTTTTACATCAGACATGATAATGATATTGTGAATTATTATATTTGGAGTAACTTTGGAAAATATTAATAGGTTTGATAAAATTCAACACAAAACGTTTGTATAGTGAGTTTCATCATGATCATCTACAGCAGAGATGAGTTGATTTCGATAAGTGGTGAGTTGCTGTTCTCTTGTAGGATTACACAAGAGGTTTATAATCTGTTTCCTGAACTTTCTCTCACTCACCACTTGACTCAATCTAAGATAGTGAACAAACTATTAAGGTCAGGATAAAAAACAGAAAGAAACTTGGCTATAAATCAGCTAGGTGTGTGAATCTTAATAATCTTGTAAACATTAACACTGGTAGTGCTGATCCAAAACCCCATACAATTACAACTTTTTTAAATAGTCATGTTTCTGGGACATGTGTGATATCCCGTGTAGTTCATTATCCGAGTTTGAATGAGGTTGTAAGGTTGCAGCGATACCGTGGGGATGCCGTATAATCGCGATTATTTTTAAATTATAATATCGTATCGGTCCAAAATCAGATAATCGCCATCCCCGGTATATCGGGAGATTTGTTCAGTTATCGCGATAAATCTAATAATCTCCAGACCACTGATTATCGGGAGAATAGACGTTATTTTAAATCAATAACATTCATCGATAGTACACTACAGTGCTGGAGTTTTGGACTATAATCGCCGCAGAAAAACACTCTATTTCACGGTGGAATCTTGGAGAATCGCTAGCGAAACGGCAGTTAGCCAAATCACCGCGAAATAGGGTGTTTCGCGGTGAATTATGGTGTTTCGCGGTGAATTATGATGTTTCGCGATGAAACACGGTGAATCGCTTGAGTGCCAATATCGTCCCGATGTAAGCATGTTGACGAAAAATGTAATTTATTTAAGTTGAATACAAGATATGTGAACCGTTGGCGAGGCAGCTACGGTCGTATTTCTAACACACTGTACATGTATAACGTGGTGCCACAAAATAACTTACAATTTTTTAAACGTATCATTTCATCTTATTGGCTGCTATTAAATCCAAACTTTAAATTATATTCGATGAGATTTTACACATAACTTCATTACTCGCAGCTTCAGTTAATCTAAATCAACCATTCATAAATCACACTGCCATACATGTAAATCACTCCGCAATGCGGTTAACCGTACGTCACATGGTCAGAAACGCGCGAAAACATGAGATGTTGGGTTCGACACAGGGATTACATATTCTTACGCTGTGTTACTTGGCGAAAAGTATTTAGCAAATCTTGACTGTCACCGGTATATGATAATAATGTATTATGACGTATTAAAATAATATGGGTGGGAGGGGGTACACTGCGAAAGTCACAAAAGTGACAGCGCCATGTATTTGTTATTTTACAAATTCTGTATCCATAGAATACTGTACATTTACATGCATGCAACCAAGGGATATTCTTGCGACAAATATCCACTTTGACAATATACATCTACTGTGTGCCGCTCATTTCATTTCGGTGGAAGCAGATGTTAAATAAAGCCATTTCACACACACACAGACGTGTACATTACACGCGCATTTATACAATGGCCACACGTGTGTTAATTCTCGCCTTCACCCCGTTATAATTTACTTATTTTGAGAACAAACGCTATTAATACTTCTCAACCATTAAGCTAACAGACAAAGGCTTTCAACAAATCTACAGGAAGCCATTTCATTCTTTAAATTTGACCCATTCAGGTGGTTAATACAATGTAATCATCAGATACAATACTAATGTTAAGCAGGCTCTTTACAAAAACAAAGTCTGGCTCCCTAAGAAAACATCCCTTTTCAATTCTTAATCGCGGCTACAATTGATACACTATTTGTTTTAATTGTTGTTTTAATAATTGATAATTGTGTTTGTTTTAATATGCATCTGCATTCTTTGAAATAATAAAGCATTATGTACTTACCCGTGGTATTGTTTCATCATGAAGCCCATCAAAGAAAAACAATTAAATTGTTGATGTAATAAAGATAAATATTTGCTAATATGTACTTACCGGCAGCGGCCATTCTTAAACTATAAATATACTCATCTATAAATTATTCGCCTCTTTGTATTGTGATTTAATCATAAATAACATATTGTCTGTATTATATTTTTAAAATGAATAAGTCAAGCCTTATAATGTAATTTAATTGGTCCGAGTGGTTGTTTTGGCTTTGTCCGAGTAGCAAAGATAAATATGGGTCCGATATTATGCAATATCGATGCGGGTTCAACCACGAAACTTGCGTATTCACCGTCTAGTATAACTTTCGAGCTTCTGATATCTAGATTTTAAACGCAAACATACATTATAGATTGCAGCTACACAGGGTACATGTATATGCAGTAGAAAATCGACAAGTTGGACGTACAAAAGAATGGAATCATTCAGAAAGTGTACTCAAAATAAATAAATTATAACGGGGTGAAGACGAGAATTAACACACTCGTGGATATTGTATAAATATATGAGGCGCATGTAATGTACACGTATGTGTGTGTGAAATGGCTTTATTCAATATCTGCTACCACCGAAATGAATTGGGTGACATAAAGTAGATGTATATTGTCACAGCGGATATTATTCGCCGAGTAAAACAGCGTAAGAATATACATGTAGTCCCAATCATTTGGCGCGTTTCTGACCACGTAACATACCGTTAAGCGACCCACGGAGTGATTTACTGTACATGCTGTATGGATGATTGATTTAGATTAACCGAAGCTGCGAGTAATGAAGTAATGTGTAAAAGCCCATCGTATATAATTTAAAGTTTGGATTTGATAGCAGCCCCAAATTGATGGATTACATCTAAGTTATAGACGAAGATGAATTGATATGTTTAAAAAATTGTAAGTTGTTCATAGTTTGCATACATTTTGGCCGGCGTTATGTATGTATAAAGTGCGTTGGGGAAAAAATCCTAACCGATACAGAATGCCGGTAAATGTCTTCCCGAGATTACCTAACTCATTTGTTATTCAAACCTGCCTGTACATTATACATGTACACGTTTCCCGGGAGCACTACTATATTACAACTCCTTTAATTTATTATAGACAATATTAGTTCGACCCTAGCTTAAGGTAGGCTCGCGAATTCCTTGCGGGAAGCACGGCAAAACACGATGTATTCTTATCGAAACACGGTGAATTCCTAGAGAAACACGGTGAATTCCTAGAGAAACACGGCGAATTCCTAGAGAAACACGGTGAATTCCTAGCGAATCTTAGAGAAAAATCGCCACGGAATCAAGCGAAATTTCACCGTGAAATCTTAAGAGAAAAAAAGCAGGAAAATGATATGGAAAATCAAATTTCCATGCTTATATATTGCTAACGTTTCGTCCCATTGATGTCTGTCAAGTTTTAGCGAAACATTAGCATTATTTTAATATTTCTTTTCGGCTTCATATTACGTGATAGAATTTGAAAAACCGCTGCAAACGAAGCGTGAGTGTAGTCTCGATCTTCCACACAGTATACAGATAATTTGACACGGGTAGTCGATTGATTATGTCATTTTTACAGTTGTCTGTCCGAAAATGTTAATGTTAGCACTCTTGATACGTAAGCATACTAATTCGCCTTTCACGGCCTTTAGAAAAGAAAACCGGCTTTCCGATTCCCGATGCCTAAACATGGCGGTCGGCATTCTTACCTTATTCACTCGATCAAAATGACTTTGACCCCCGCAAAAAAGTGCTAACGTGTCAATTGACAGACCGATTAAATAAACTGTCTGTCCTTACGTAAAGCGGTGGACACACTAGCCGAATGATTCGGCCGAATCTATCGGCGTCGAAATTCGCCTAGTGTGTCCACTGTCATTCGGCCAATTTGAATTTTTTTGCCAATTTGACCCATTTGGACATGGATTTCGGACTGGGACTTTTTTTGGGTGATAATATACGTCTAGACCAAACATAAACCGTGGTCGGCATTTCTATTGCAGCAACTGCCCGGAATGGTGCGAAATTGAGTTTTAAAAAATGCCTGGACTTAGTCTACAGTCATGATGGACCGACACAAGATAGTTCCCCACTATCCTCCCCTTCACCACAAATGACACATTTTTTCTCTGAATTATCTGAAGCTGCCATTTTCGTTGTTTGTATTTCGAATTTTCCACGAAACTAAAGAAAAAAACGCAGGTCGGATACCAGGTAAATCAGTGAGTTGGCTGGTACCCTTCCAATTCGACCGTCGGAAAACCTTGAGGCCTCTAAAAAAAATTCACTTGGGCCAATTGATGGGGCGTTTTTTTTCTGTAACACTACTGGGTGTGATATCATTTAAAACCAAGAAAGCTTAGTTTGCACATTTTTGCCACAAACATGAGATGCAGGCCTGATTCTGGCATACTATACAGCCATTACAGCCATTTCATGTTTTAACATACATGTAAAGATAAATAATCATATAAGTTAAAATACAAAATTGGTCCTGTTAACTGAAGTCATTTATTTAACTGTTTTGGCGCTAATGCATGGCAAGTACTAGGTGTATGAAAGTGCATTAGTGCCACTGTTTTTATCAAAAATACAAAATAACAATATGTTAAACTATTATAATAAGCTTGAAAAAGTTAAAATATGTTCCCCTTCCAGTGAACTTCTTTGAAATATTTTAAATATTACAAACACTTCCGTCCGTATCATCTACATGTATATTATTCATTATTAAGTGAGACAAAATCAACTAATAAAGTTGTAAACACCATTTATGTTTTATTATATATTTACATGGACAATAAAACTATTCAAAATAAAACGTGGATAATAATAAACTAAGCCTTTATTGAAAGTATTGCAATACTGCAATATATTGCAATACAATTTTTCGCCTTAATACACAGCCCTATTATTTTGGGATTTTGGATTGGGACATCAGCCTCACTGTTGGATTGTTTTTTTTTTATTCAGATATTGTGGTATTCATGATCCATCATGTGTTGTATTTTGTAATGCATCAAAGAAATGGTTTTGGTTTTTTTTATTCAGATATTGTGGTATTCATGATCCATCATGTGTTGTATTTTGTAATGCCTCAAAGAAATGGTTTTGTAATGGACGAGGAAACACTTCTGGCAGGTAAGAGTAAGATGATAAGAATTTATTGACATGTTATGCAGGAGATTAAACGATCATGAATCTGAAATTCTCTCAATTCAGACTTGCTAACCACGATGACCAGAACAGTAGGACGTTAAACTCCATTTCATTTCATTTCATTTGTTGGCTTTGAAAGTTTTTTCAGCTTGGTATCCCCTTGTCAGTGGTGCAGGACGGAGGGCCTAGCAAGTCCTTGTGTACACGTTGACATGCACAGAAAATAGCTCTTGGTATTCAACAAGAGAAGGCAGAAATTCCCAAGGAAACGTTTTCCTCATAACACACTGTATTGTTGGTGCTATAAATTAGGATGTTAAACCCTATTTCATGCTTTATTTATATTGCTCTCTCTTATTTACAGTCACATCATCAACCATCTTGTTAGAGCTAAAGCTAAAGAAGTAACGTTACATAAAGATGGACCACTGGGAGAAACAGTATTAGAATGTTATAACTGTGGTTGTAGAAATGTGTTTTTACTGGGTTTTATACCAGCCAAAGCTGATTCTGTTGTTGTATTATTGTGTCGTCATCCATGTGCTACACTAAGTAACCTAAAAGATATGAATTGGTAAGAGAACAGTTCTCATCCCTTTATATGTTTTCTTTTTCTGTTACTTTAATTTACTTACACATACTTGTCCTTAGTTGCAACTTAATTTTATTGATATGGTATGATCTAATGATACAGAGAGTCTTACTCCTAACTATGTTATTATTCATGAATAATTGGTTTCCTAATAATTGTCACCCACCTTTCGAAGAAAGCAGGTTACTATTAAAATGGGTTTGTCCGTCCGTCTGTCTGCCGTCCGTCCGTCACACTTTTTGGGACACAATAACTCTCCTTCTAATTGAGTGAGAATGTTCAAACTTGGTGGAGGTGTGTATTAGGTCAATGCCTTGATGAAGTTCGAAGATGAGCATTTTCTGCTTAGGGTAAGCAGAGATAAGCAATTTGATTGGTTGATGCTTTGGGACAGGATAACTTTAGTTTTAATTAAGTGAAAGTGATGAAACTTGGTGTGTAGTTTCATTCAATACCTTGACTAAGTTCGATAATCAGCATTTTCTGCTCAGGGTAAGCAGAGCGATAAGCAATTTGATTGGCGAGACTTTGGAACACAATAAATCTCCTTCTAATTGAGCTAAAATGTTCAAACTTGGTGTAGTTGTTTATTAGGTCAATGCCTTGATGGAGTGTGAAGATGAGCATTTTCTGCTTAGGGTAAGTAGAGATACGCAATTTGATTGGTTGATGCTTTGGGGCACGATAACTTAAGTTCCAATTAAGTGAGAGTGATGAAACTTGGTGTATAGTTTCATTACATCAGTACTTTGACTAAGTTCTATATTGAGCATTTTCTGCTGAGGGTAAGCAGAGCGATAAGCAATTTGATTGGTCGAGACTTTGGAACACAATAAGTCTCCTTCTAATTGAGCTAGAATGTTCAAACTTGGTATAGGTGTTTATGAGGCCAATGCCTTGATAGAGTGCGAAGATGAGTATTTTCTGCTTATGGTAAGTAGAGATAAGCAATTTGATTGGTTGATTCTTTGGGACACGATAACTTTAGTCTAGTTCTAATTAAACATGCATTATGCAAGAGCAAAATCTGCTTATTACAAGTCTTTCTTTAGGCCTGAAATGTTATCTAAATTATCAATTAGACATTAATTAACTTATCCAGGCCATAATAAACTCTCGATGTGAAGGCTAGCCTTCGAGGTTGGCTGGATTAGATTGCTATATGCCGCTAATGGCTATTGATAATTAATCAATAAAAATGGATAATCGAGACTATGCTGTTATAAATATTAATGATTTTAGTAATGATGACCGAGACTATGCAAAAATTTCAGCTGCTTCTTTCTCGGCTCATAGTGGATCAATTTGACTGAAATTTTCAGCAAATTACCTTTACACTATCTAGTTTTTAACTATTATAGGGAGAACTGCCATCTCTTTATCTAATGTATCTTTAAGTGAGAGTGATGAAACTTGGTGTATAGTTTTATTACATCAATACCTTCACTAAGTTCGATGATGAGAATATATTGTCTGCTTAGGCTAAGGAGCAATAAGCATTTTGATTGGTCAAGACTTTGGAACATAACAACTCTGCTTCTAATTGAGGTAGAATGTTTAAACTTGATGTAGATGTTTGTTTTGACCGAGTTCAATGATTAACATATCGAGCTAAAGCTAAGCAGAGATAAGCAATTTCCTTGGTCGATGCTTTGGGACAAGATAACTTTGATTCTATCTGATAGAGAGTGATGAAACTTAGTGTATAGTTGATTATCAGTTTGATTGCTCGATACTTTTGAAAAAAATAGATCTGCGATTAATTAATGTGTCATCTATTTATTTGGGGATTTCAGCGGGGGACATCAGCCTCTCTGTTGGCTTGTTTTGGGATTTTGGCGGGGAACATCAGCCTCACTGTTGGCTTGTTGTTGTTGACATTTGTATGAATATCATTGAGACTTTGGAACATAACAACTCCTTTGGAACATAACAACTCTGCTTTTAATTGAGGTAGAGTGTTTAAACTTGATGTAGATGTTCATTAGGTGAATGTCTTGACTGAGTTCAATGATTAACATTTCGAGCTAAAATAGATGTGCGATTAATTAATATTGTGTCATCTATTTATTTTGGGATTTCGGCGGTGGACATCAGCCACACTGTTGGCTTGTTTAAATTAGTAAAACGAAAAAGCCTGTCAAATTTCCAAATTTTCTGTAAATTACTTCCAGAGTTAAGTCCCTTGTTTAGTTTGTAGAACCTTGTGAACTCTCAAATGACAAAAATTATAATCTGATCTGTATGAAATTGTCTTGTAAATGCTCCCAATTACCTACAAAAGAGTAAATATGCGTCAACCCTTGTCGACCGCTCGGACAATTTAGCTGCTGTGGGTGTATGTTTTGTTGCCTGGCAACCTATTTTTTATTTTGTAGGGATCCCACACAGTGGCTACCATTGATTCAAGATCGTCAATTTTTATCCTGGTTGGTGAAAGTACCTACAGATCAAGATCAGCTAAGAGCTAGACAAATAACAGCTCAGCAGATTAATAAGCTGGAAGAATTATGGAAGGTTTGTTAAGCTATCAAAACAAGAATAAATATATTATAAGCTTACTGATATGTTTGTTGGTCCTGATTCTCAAAGCACACATCAGATGTAAGCTTGTACATCAATGAAACATTTTGATATAAAAAAAAATAAAATATTTCAACATCGGTAATTGGCCGATAAGTAGCCTATCGGGAGAAATCTGTATACTAGAGTTGCCAATATCTGTTCAAATTGACTCGGTAAATACCTTTAAAATATTATCTGAGTTGTGAACAAATCATTATTTCACTTGACAAGCGGTACATCTATATAGCCACGCACACGGCAACCGAAATAAAAGTTTTATTTCAGTTGATGTTCTTGTTGTTATTTAGGTGTACTAGGTAATACAAGACTCTCATAGGGGCCTTTAAAAATAAGAAGTGCCGTGCGCATTGTTATTTAGACAAACCAGTAATAAAAGACTGATATAGGGGCCGTAAAATGGAAAGAATAAACAGTAGGCCTACAAATTTTTTACCGATCTCCGTTATTTTTTATACGCCCACATTTTCATGTGGACGTATATTGTCGTCGCCCCTGTCCGTCCGTCCGTCCACCCGTCCACAATTGTTTGTGAACAGTCTACAGGTCACAATTTTTATCCGATTTCAATGAAACTTGAAATATAGGTTTATCACCCTAAGATCTTGGTTCCTTTCGATATTGGCATGTATCGGACTGTAACTTCAAGAATTATGACCCCTGATTGTACGAAAAATCACGTTTGTAGCTTGTGAACACTGTAGAGGTCACAATTTTTATCCGATTTTGTTGAAACTTGAAATGTATGCTTATAACCCAAAGATCACGGTTCCTTTCAATATTCGCGCATATCGGACCGTAACTTCCTGAATTATGGCCCCTGATTGTACGAAAAATGACCTTTTTAGCTTGTGGACCCTATAGAGGTCATAATTTTTATCCGTAACTTTCTGAATTATGGCCCCTGATTGTACTAAAAATCGCGTTTTTTGGCTTGTGGACCCTATAAAGGTCATAATTTTTATCCGATTTAAAAAAACGTATTATTATATCACCGTTACACCCTAAGGATGGCTGAGTTCGAATTTCATGAAAATCCTCCCAAAACTGACAGACAAAATGGCTGCCCTTCGTTCTCAAATAGCGTAAAAATATGGTATATCAAGGTTGTGGACCCTATAGAGGTCACAATTTTTATCCGATTTTGTTGAAACTTGAAATGTAAGTTTATAACCCAAAGATCTCGATTCCTTTCGATATTCGCGCATATCGGACCGTAACTTCTAAAAATCGCGTTATTTGGCTTGTGGACCCTCAAAAGGTCATAATTTTTATCCGATTTAAAAAAACGTATTATTATATCACCGTTAAACCCTAAGGACGGCTGAGTTCTCAAATAGCGTAAAAATATGGTATATCAAGGTTGTGGACCCTATAGAGGTCACAATTTTTATCCGATTTTGTTGATTCTTAAAATGTAAGTTTATAACCCTAAGATCTTGGTTCCTTTCGATATTCCCGCATATCGGACTGTAACTTCCTGAATTATGGTCCCTGATTGTACGAAAAATCATGTTTTTAGCTTGTGGACCCTATAGAGGTCACAATTTTTATCCGATTTTGTTGAAACTTGAAATGTAAGTTTATAACCCAAAGATCTCGGTTCCTTTCGATATTCCCGCATATCGGACTGTAACTTCCTGAATTATGGTCCCTGATTGTACGAAAAATCACGTTTTTAGCTTGTGGACCCTATAGAGGTCATAATTTTTATCTGATTTAAAAAAAACGTTTTATTATATCACCGTTACACCCTAAGGACGGCTAAGTTCGAATTTCATGAAAATCGGCCCAAAACTGACAGACAAAATGGCCGCCCTTCGTTCTCAGATAGCGTAAAAATATGGTATATCAAGGTTGTGTACCCTATAGAGGTCACAATTTTAATCCAATTTTGATGAGATGAAATGAAATGAAATGAAATGGAGTTTAACGTCCTACTGTTCTGCTCCTAACCTGGGCTAATGAAGACGGACATACGCCATACAGTGTGCTATGAGGGAAATTTTGCCCGGACAGCGGCACTACGGCCTACTCTTATATCGAATTCCAACTGCCAAGGGATCTTTTACGTGCACGCCAATGTGTACACGAGACCTCGGTTTTTCGTCCCATCTGAACGACTAGGCAGCTTTTCTTGTCAGCCCCTCCATCCTGCATCACTGACAAGGGAGAACCACGCCGGAAAATCTGGATGAACTTTCTCGGCCAATGCAGGGATCGAACACTCGACCTCCAGGCTAGCGAGCTAGCGCCTTACCCACTTAGCCACGTGATCCCCCAATTTTGATGAAACTTGAAATGTAAGTTTATAACCCAAAGATCTCGGTTCCTTTCGATATTCGCGCATATCGGAACGTAACTTCCTGAATTATGGCCCCTGATTGTACGAAAAATCGCGTTTTTAGCTTGTGGACCCTATAGAGGTCATAATTTTTATCCGATTTAAAAAAACGTATTATTATATCACTGTTACACCCTAAGGATGACTGAGATCGAATTTCGTGAAAATTGGCCCAAAACTGACAGACAAAATGGCCGACCTTCGTTCTCAAATAGGGTAAAAATATGGTATATCAAGGTTGTGGACCCTATAGAGGTCATAATTTTTATCCGATTTTGTTGAAACTTGAAATGTAAGTTTATAACCCAAAGATCTCGGTTCCTTTCCATTTTTGCGCATATCGAATTGTAATTTTCTGAATTATGGCCCTTGATTGTAGGAAAAACAGTTTCTTTTTAGCTTGTTCTCTATCCGTCTCTCGAAAATGTGGGCGTATCCTGCCTGGCAGCCGCTGGTTAAATCCTTATTCACACACATTGTTTGAGAGTTCGTGTCTATCAGTGCAGTTTTTGAGAATACCAGTTCTGTGCATGTGCAGACAGACATTAACGTACAACAGTCCACCTAATAACTTTTGATTGGAATAGGAAATAAGCCAATTTCATGATGATCAAAATCATAGAATTGGAGAACACAGTCGCGGAGGCCTCTCTTATTCATTCTGTTTTCAATGGGTGCTGATATTACAAGATCACAAACTAGAACAATACCTAATTAGACTATTGAATTTTTTATTTTAACCATTAACCGGTCATTGTCGACTATAATTACCACAACGTTATACAGCCAAGTGGTCACAGTCAACTAAAGTTGACCACAGCAAGAACCTTTTTTATAACTTATAAGCCGTATTTGAGTATTTAGTTTCGTATTTAATTGATATGGCCACGCATGCGTGTCAGACAGGAACTTGTCTTGTCAAGGGCATTGAGAAAAACATGTCTTTGTTCACGCTTTTTGACAAAAAATGTAATTTAACGATGTCAGGAAGGTTAGACTCTCAAAGTGGTTGAAATGTGTATGAATGATTCCGACTCGGATTATATCGATGACACAGATTCTGAAGACGATATTTCTGATAAAAATGATTTATAATGATTTGCAAATTATAGATAAACTTATTCCCTTCAACTTTTTTTATACGCCCACATTTTCATGTGGACGTATACCGTTGTCGCCCCTGTCCGTCCGGACACAATTGTTTGTGGACACTCTACAGGTCACAATTTTTATCCGAATTCAACGAAACTTGAAATATAGGTTTATCTCCCTAAGATCTCGGTTCCTTTCGATATTGGCATGTATCAGACCGCAGGTTCATGGATTATGGCCCCTGATTGTATGAAAAATCACATTTTTAGCTTGTGGACCCTATAGAGGTCACAATTTTTATCCGATTTTTTAAAGGAGCTAAATCGCTAACATTTGGGACCTAGAAATTGACAAAAGTGGGTCGCAATGCATGTAATACTGTAATATGAATGTATAAACTGATTTACATTCAATGGTTTCCGTTTTTACTCCAATTTCAAATCAGTTATGTTTGGCGAAATAAGCCAGCAGTCTCAAGTGAGTGCAAATTTCTAGCGTCTGGTTATTCCAGTCTACATACGCCGTTTGATTTGGTGCAATGTGTCTAGCCTCGTCCCTCGAGTCTCTTGATACAACTGGGGCTGAAGCGCATTATGGTACACGATTCGTGTACCAATGATAAAATGTTTATTTTGTCTTAAATATTGGATATCAAAAGCCCATCTTTTTCCGGTAAGATCACAACACGAATGTTGATTTAATTTGACAAATAAATCGTGTTTTCAATGTTGAAGTTTTTGGATGATATTGAGTTAGAGACTTAGCTACTTTAAAACTTGAAATGTAAGTTTATAACCCAAAGATCTTGGTTCCTTTCGATATTCGCGCATATCGAACCTTAACTTTCTGAATTATAGCCCCTGATTGTACAAAAATCGCGTTTTTAGATTGTGGACCTTATAGAGGTCATAATTTTTATCCGATTTAAAAAAATGTTTTAGTATATCACCGTTACACCCTAAGGATGGCTGAGTTCCAATTTCGTGAAAATCGACCCAAAACTGTCAGACAAAATGGACGTCCCTCGTACACAATTAGCGTAAAAAATATGGTATATCAATGTTGTGGACCCTCTAGAGGTCACAATTTTCTTCTGATTTTGATGAAACTTGAAATGTAAGTTTATAACCCAAAGATCTTAGTTCATTTCCATATTTGCCCATATCGGATCGTAACTTCCTGAATTATGGCCCTTAATTGAAATTAATTGTACGAAAAATCACGTTTTTAGCTTGTGGTCCCTGTAGAGGTCACAATTTTTATCTGATTTAAAAAAAATGTGTGAATATATCACCATTACACACTGAGATCTTGGATCCTTTTGATAATCGCGGATACCCGAACTTAACATCCTGGATTATGGCCCGTGATTGTTCGAAAAATGGCATTTTTAGCTTGCGGATTCTCTATAGGTCACAATTTTTTTTACAATTTTAAAAACCATTTAAATATTTCACCATTCCACTAGGGCTGGCGGAAATAATCGATAATTGCCGATAATCGTCAGTAAGTGTTTTGAAAATTGATTATTGATACAGTTTTAAAATATCGATTATTCTTCAGTTCTTTCGTCTTCTTAGTTTCTAAGTCAAACACGTACAGTCCCTTCATAAAATTTCTTATTTTATTAAGAAATTTGCTAATAAATGTCCGAAGAAATCACTGCAAGAAATCAACTGTTACGGCGAACTGAAGAATTCGTTTGATGTGATCAAAGGGAAATAACTACATTTTACTCAGTATTATTTAGGTCATAAGCGACAAAGATATGGCGAGCCCGAGCGGTGGCGGGTTCTGTCTTCCAAGCGAAGTGGATTGATCAAGTTTCTTTCTACACCTTGGCTTCGCTGTGGAATGCTATTATTTTATTGTCAAATGTCAAATAAATGAAAAAAAAAAATCTACATGTATACAGAATGATATCACGGCATAAACTCGCATATAATTCGTGTACAAATTATGATTGTTTTCAAACCAATTGTAAGTCAAAATAATTTGCCGATATTATCGATTATCGATCAGCGGATGGTCTGCGATAATCGATACTTGAAACAGGATGGATTGCCAGCCCTACATTCCACCATAATGAAGGGTGAATTCGAATTTCGGGAAAATCGAAATGAAACTGCCCAACAAAATGGCCGCTCTTTGTGCGCAAATTGTGTAAAAGTATGCAATACGAAGGTTGTCCCTCTAGAGGTCACAATTTTTATCCGATTCTGATGAAACTTAAAACATATCTTTATATTCCAAAGATCTCAGCCCCTTTTGATATTTGGGCATTTCAGACCATAACTTTCTGGATTATTGCCCCTGATTGTACAAAACATCCCGTTTGTTTTTAGCTTGTTCACTATCCATCTCTTGCAAAATGTGGGCGTATCCTGCCTGGCAGCTGCTGGTTGATTGTGTAGGAAGCGTGACCCAATTATTACTTCAAAAACACAGCAGTACCATGCGCTTCCTGACTAACAGTGACATAGATCTACATAGATTATCGTGCCATTCGAGGTATTTTAATGTGTAATAGTTTTATATCCACCACTATTGGTAATTGTATCTGTCAATATCTGATATCGATAAAACTGATAGGTGCCATATCTGACCATCACTAAAATATGCGACTACAGTGGTCGACTGCCTGGATGACATAGCAGTTGTTTCATTGCCAGGCAGGCAACCTGTTTTTATTGAATATATAATTTGACGTTACTCACATGCTGTTATTTGGCGAGATTTTCTGAAAAATGATAGTAGATCATGTAAAAGTAACCATTTTTATACGCCCACATGGAAATGTGGTTGTATATTGCCATTGCCCCCGTCTGTCCGTCCATCGTCCACAATTTCTTGTGAACACTCTACAGACTACGTTTATAATCTGATTGTTTTGAAATTGATATATGTTGTTTGCGTTAGTGAGATGAAGAAGCCTATTTAATTTCAATAACTTCCGTTAATGTCTTCTGGAGTTATGGCCCTTGTTTCACTTTGTTGAATCTTGTGAACGCTCTAACGACAAAAGTTATCAACCGATCTGTATGAAATTTATATGCCTCATTTAAATTAGTAAAACAAAGAATCCTATTGAATTTCAGCAGTTACATCTTCTAGAGTTATGTCCCTTGTTTCACTTTGTTGAATCTTGTGAACGCTCTAATGACAAATTTCAGCAATTTCAGTTTTAAATTACATCTAGAGTTATGGCCCTTGTTTCACTTTGTTGAATCTTGTGAACGCTCTAATGACAAAAGTTATCATCCGATCTGTTTGAAATTTATATGCATCAATCATTTAGATTAGTGGAACGAAGAAGCCTATTGAATTTCAGCAATTTCCGTTTACGCTGTGAGTTATGGCCCTTGTGAATGCTCTGGCGACAAAAGTTATTATCCGATCTGTCTGAAATTTATATCGTTTAAATTAGTAAAACGAACAAGCCTATTGAGTTTCAGCAAATATCCGTTAATTACATCTAGAGTTATGGCCCTTGTTTCACTTTGTTGCACCTTGTGAACGCTCTAACAACAAAAGTTATTATCCGATCTGTATGAAATTTATATGTATCATTTAAATTAGTAAAACGAACAAGCCTATTGAGTTTCAGCAAATTTCCGTTATTTACATCTAGAGTTATGGCCCTTCTTTAACTTTGTTGAATCTTGTGAACGCTTGAACGACAAAAGTTATCACCTAATCTGTATGAAATTCATATGCATCATTTAAATTAGTGAAATGAAGAAGCCTATTGAATGTCAGCAATTTCCGTCAATTAATTCTAGAATTATGGCCCTTGTTTTACTTTGTTGAACGTTGTGAACGTTCGAACGACAAAAATTATCATCCGATCTGTATGAAATTTACATGCATTATTTGAATTAGTAAAACGAAAAGCCTGTCGAATCACCCAATCTGTGTATGAAATTCATATGCATCATTTAAATTAGTGAAATGAAGAAGCCTATTGAATGTCAGCAATTTCCCTCAATTACTTCTAGAATTATGGCCCTTGTTTTACTTTGTTGAACGTTGTGAACGTTCGAACGACAAAAATTATCATCCAATCTGTATGAAATTTACATGCATTATTTGAATTAGTAAAACGAAAAGCCTGTCGAATCACCCAATCTGTGTATGAAATTCATATGCATCATTTAAATTAGTGAAATGAAGAAGCCTATTGAATGTCAGCAATTTCCGTCAATTACTTCTAGAGTTATGGCCCTTGTTTTACTTTGGTGAACGTTTGACGACAAAAATTATCATCCGATCTGTATGAAATTTATATGCATTATTTGAATTAGTAAAACGAAAAGCCTGTCGAATTTCAATAATTTCTGTAGATTACTTCCAGTGTTATGGCCCTTTTTTTAGTTTTTAGGACCTTGTGAACCCTAAAACGACGAAAATTATAATGTCATCTGTATGTCTATTAAATGCCCCTTAATTACCTACAAAAGAATAAATATACGACAACCCTTGTCGACCTCTCAGATGATTTAGCTGCTGTGGGCGTATGTTTTGTTGCCTGACAACCTATCTTGGAATATTGTTTTAGGAAAACCCAGAAGCTAAACTGGAAGATCTAGAAAAACCAGGAATAGATGAAGAGCCTCAACAGGTTTTACTAAGGTAAATAAAAATAAAATTAAGAAATTGTCCCCTTCTTTTTTTATTAGGTTTTGTGTTACGAATATATTAAAATATTTAAGGAAAAAAAAAAGCCCTGTGGTGATAATGATATGGAGGCAGGGAAATTATCAATTTATAATTTACTAATAAGAAATAAAAAGGAAGTGGTGTTTAATGCCCTACTGTTCTTATCCGATTGTCCTGATGAAGACGCGCATATGCCATGCAAATTATTGAATTCCAACTGCCAAGGGTTCTTTTATGTGCAGACCAATGTGTACACAGGACCACGTTTTTGCATCCCATCCAAACAACTATATGCTGTCCCTTGCCAGGTCCTCTGTCCTGCATCATTGACAATGGGGAATCATTTCGAAAAGTCATGATGAACTTTCTAGATCAACATTGGGATGGAACACAGGGCCTCCAGGTTAGCGAGCCAACATCTTACTCACTGAGCCACCACATCTCCCTTACTTATACGATATTGTATATTATAGATATGATGACGCCTATCAATATCAGAATATATTTGGACCACTAGTAAAATTAGAAGCTGATTATGATAGAAAGTTGAAAGAATCACAGACACAAGATAATATACAAGTAAGATGGGATGTGGGTTTAAACAAGAAGAAGATTGCTCACTTTCAACTACCTAAGGCAAATGATGGTAAGTTTACAGATGAATCCAGTGGTGCCAATTTAAATTTGAAATATTCATGGCTTGATTCATGTATACAACTGTACATCAACCAATTTGTGAGTTGAAGAGGCATTATTCAAGAGCTAAATTTGCCTGTTGCAGGTCTTTCTTTAGGCCTTAAATGTTATATGAACTATTAAAGATGGGTTCCCGCATACAAACTGGGTGATTTAATGGTATATATGGACTAAAAACATATTCAAACTAATTAATTTGTTATAATTATGCTTCAAATCCTTCTCAAACATTGTAATTGCGAAGGAATGCCCTGCTATTAAAATTTGATCAAACCAGGTCATGTTTACGTCACGTCTTGGAAATCAGAGGAAAATTTATTGCATACATAAGACGATGTTGACTTTAATCGCTTACTATTTATTAAAAATATCGAATCCTAATTAAATCCACTGCCCGTGTCTTTTTCCGTCATTTTTATCTCAGAAAGTGTTGTACGTCTAACTCTTCATAAAGTTTATCAACTTGTACATCAAGCGCTCAATGTTCGCGTGTGACCTTTGACATCACACGTGCAGAAATTCTTAATCGTCGGGCTGTTAATTAGGGTAACCCTTACATTTTTTTCCTGTATACGCTCCATGAGTGTTTTTTGGGGAATCCAGTATTTTTCTATTAAGATTGGATATCTCTAGTTTCCATATATATACCAAAATTGCCATACTTTTATTGGAAATAACCACCCGATAAATACTTTGCTGGGAACCCATCTTTAAATAAACATTTATTAACATGGACAGGACTCTAATCAACTCTCAAGGCCAATGATTCTCAGATCTTCCTTAGTGTGCCTCGAAATTTTGAACAGCAAACTAAGAAAATGGGTGAAACCACGTGCTCCCAATTGAGTTTTCACTGGTGTTCGTAGATGTGTTTTTCTTTATTTAGTTTGAATCACTTTATGTACCTACGACTAGCCTGTGTCTACAGTTGTATGCCGTCATGACTTGCCATGTTTTTATACGCCCACATTTTCATGTGGACGTATTATGCCGTCGCCCCTGTCCGTCCGGACGTCCACAATTGTTTGTGGACTCTCTACAGGTCACAATTCTTATCCGATTTTGACGAAACTTGAAATATAGGTTTATCCCCAAAAGATCTCGGCTACTTTAGATATTGGCATGTATCGGATCGAAAATTCATGGATTATGGCCCCTGATTGTACGAAAAATCACGTTTTTAGCTTGTGGACCCTATAGAGGTCACAATTTTTATCCGATTTTGTTGAAACTTGAAATGTAAGTTTATAACCCAAAGATCTCGGTTCTTTTAGATATTCCTGCATATCGGACCGTAACTTCCTGAATTATGGCCCCTGATTGTACGAAAAATCGCGTTTTTAGCTTGTGGGCCCTATAGAGGTCATAAATTTTATCCGATTTAAAAAAACGTATTATTATATCACCGTTACACCCTAAGGACGACTGAGTTTGAATTTCGTGAAAATCGGCCCAAAATTGACAGACAAAATGGCCGCCGTTCGTTCTCAAATAGTGTAAAAATATGGTATATCAAGGTTGTGGACCCTATAGAGGTCACAATTTTTATCCGATTTTGTTGAAACTTGAAATGTAAGTTTATAACCCAAAGATCTTGGTTCCTTTCGATATTCGCGCATATCGTACTGTAACTTCCTGAAGTATGGCCCCTGATTGTACGAAAAATCACGTTTTTAGCTTGTGGACCCTATAGAGGTCATAATTTTTATCCGATTTAAAAAAACGTATTATTATATCACCGTTACATCCTAAGGACGGCTGAGTTTGAATTTCGTGAAAATCGGCCCAAAACTGACAGACAAAATGGCCGCCCTTCGTTCTCAAATAGCGTAAAAATATGGTATATCAAGGCCGAGGACCCTATAGAGGTCACAATTTTAATCCGATTTTGTTGAAACTTGAAATGTAAGTTTATAACACAAAGATCTCGGTTCCTTTCGATATTTGCGCATATCGAATTGTAATGTAGGAAAAATCACTTTCTTTTTAGCTTGTTCTCTATCCATCTCTCGAAAATGTGGGCGTATTCTGCCTGGCATCCGCTGGTTATTTTGCAAAATAACAATATTTTTCATACATATTTAGCCAGGTGTGCTGCTATTTTTTTCATGTGTTCCAAGATGTGCTGTCAGCAAAGAAAGGTTGAGAACCACTGCTCTAGGCCATCGAATATCTCCAATTTTGAGTAGATTAGAAAGGTTTCGGCCATTTAACGATTTAATGTTAAGAGCCACTTTCTGTAAGATTCAGGCAAAAATCAAGACTTTCTTTAGTGACAACCTTCAAATTCTCTAATTTTTCAACATATTGTACCATTTAGTACTACAATCACAATTCTAAAAAAAAAAAATCATTATTTTTGTCGGTTGCCAAGATATGAGGAGAGCTTGAAAATTGACCCAAATTTTCAAAAACAGCTTTTGGAGAACTTTAACTGAAAAATTACAACAAAGTACATGGTTACCCATAGGTTATTTGGGTGGTTCTTGTTAATTGCTATGAGTAGAGATGAAAAATAGTGAAAAACCTGTGCATCTCACTAATGCAAACATATATCAATTTCAAAACAATCAGACGATAAATGTAGTCTGTAGAGTGTTCACAAGAAATTGTGGATGACGGACGGGCGGAGAGACAGACGGACTAGGGCGACGGCAATCTACGGCCACATTTCCATGTGGGCGTATAAAGATAGATATATTGCAAAATGAATATATTGAAAATCTCATTCAAATTACTTTGTTCTGAGCGAAGTTATCAATTTTTGTAGTGTTGACAAGATTTGTGCATATATTGTTTATTATTGTAACCACCGTACTGGTTTGTTCGAGACTAGACTCGCTTCTCAATTTTTAAATTAAATCGTTAAATGGCCGAACCGTTCTAATGTACTCAAAATCAGAGAAATCTGATGTCCTAGAGTTGATTGTAGTCTTGCCATTTTGCCATGGAAAATTAGTCCGCGCCAATTAGTAGTCATATTATGATTGTATGGCATGATGACCCATTACCTATGGAAGAATATTGTTGCCAATATTATTTCAATGTTACCAGTGCAAAATGCAAATGTCAGCAGTTAAAAATACCTATTTTAGTTTTACAATTTGCAATTTCTATTGCTCCACAATACCAATGTCACAGTGTTGAAATTCAGAATACACTTTTCAATAATACAAAATACGGTATAATAGTTATTTTGCACATTACACTTCTCGATTCTGCATTTTGCATTATAGACAAATGCCTTTTTACTGAATCTCATTCGCACACGGAAAAAAGTCTGGACTAGGACGGGAATTAATAATTTACGCGATCAATCTACAAGGTCAAGGTACATAAATGGGGGCCGAGATCAAGCAGGCATACAATAAGTCACCCATACTTCTCGCAGTGTTTTGTTTGATTAGAGCTAATCCCACTTAACACTGCTGTAATGGAAGCAAATTTCTGTTCCAAATTATGACTTGTCAATAGTCCGATTAACAACCAATAGCTAACTGCGTTACAATATCATTACGCTATAAACAGAGCTCCAAATTGGACCAAATATGTTTACATAACGTTACAACATGACTCAAGATTTTATTATGCTCAATTAACCAGTGCATCACAGAATACTGCAGAAAAACTAATTGCGTGACAAACGAGGCTATAACCATGGATACAATGTAAACAATACTGTTTGGAGACGAACAATATTTTCACCATTTTTAATACCTTAAATCACTGTCCAAAGTTTTAAGATTAAACGACGGGCTGTACTTGGGATAGATTTTATTGAACAGGAAGAACAGACACACTCAAGTATCAGAAGCCAATCCAGCAATGGGCAAAGAGGGATTTCTCGGGCCATTGCTTTAGGGATATGTAAGTCACCATACAATATAAGTCGACTTGTCAAGCAATAAGGGCGAGTCAAGCTAGCATTTGCTGAATGACCATGACTTCCATGAAATCATGCCCCCAGTATAGATAATCCGCCCCTTCTATAAGCCCTGTATTTTTACTTCATACCACCCACCCAACCCCTTCACTTCAACTTTAATAATCCTTTTTTCAGGGTACATGTATGTAAATATAAATGCGCCAGTTTACATACATGCTTTTTAGTGAAAAGGAACACAATATATTTACCCCGCAGGTATTTTACCCTGTTATTTAATAAGAGTTTTGTACCACCCGGCTTTGACTTTGAGCATTTATTTTTCCCCTTGTCAGTGATGCAGGACGGAGGGTCTGACCAGTCTTACTGTTCTGCTCCAATGGGCTAATGAAGACAGCCATACGCATACAGTGTGTTATGAGAGAAAATTTGCCTGGGCACCAGAGCTATAGCCTAGTCTTATATTGAATTCCAACGGAACTTTTATGTGCACACCAAAGTGTACACAGGACCTCCGTTTTTTATCCCATCCGAATGACTAGACAGCTGCACTTATTACATGGCAAGTCAGCTTATTGTATGGTGACTTATTGTATGCCAGTCTGATCTCGGCCTCCATCTACTGACCTTGACCTTAAATTATTAATTTCCGTCTTAGTCCAGACTTTTTTTCTGTATTCAAATGAGATTTGTCAATAATGCAAAATGCAGAACGGAGAAGTGTAATGTGCAAAATAACAATTATACCGTATTTTGTATTATTGAATTTTAACACTGTGACATTGCAATCTGTAAAACAAAAATAAGCATTTTGCAGCGGTTACATTGAAATAATATTGGCAACGTTCTTCTTCCATAGGTAATGTATCATCATGCCATACAAACATAATATGACTACTAGGCGCTGACAATTTTCCAAATTGACATCAAAATAACAAGCATGTCAAAGTCAAAGTCCCCCCACACAAACAGAAACCCACAGACATTGCAAGAAATAAATAGCAAAAGTATAAATATGAAATCAACTGAGTGGATCTGGAGACTAGCCTTATAAGCGTCCACTGCTATTTTTAAAGTTAAAAAACCCACGGTATAATAAAATATTAATTATTAACTAAATCAATATTCAAGTAAGTTTCTCCTATTGAAATGATGGGATCACGGTGGGTAAGGCGCTGGCTCGCTAGCCTGGAGGTTGGGTGTTCAATCCCTGTATTGGCCGACAAAGTTCATCCAGATTTTTCCGGCGTTGTCTCCCCTTGTCAGTGATGCAGGACGGAGGGCCTGACAAGGACAGCTGTCTAGCCGTTTGGATGGGACAAAAAACTGAGGTCCTGTGCACACATTGGTGTGAACGTAAAAGATCCCTTGGCAGTTTGAGTTTGATATAAGAGTAGGCCGTAGCGTCGCTGCCCGAGCACAATGTCCCTCATAGCACAGTGTATGGCGTATGCTCGTCTTCACTAGCCCAGTAGGACGTTAAACCCAATTCACTTCATTTCATTTCCTATTGAAATGTCCTTGATTTTACAGACAAATAATTAAAATTATACCTTCAATTTTTGATATTGTGTAGGGCTAAATTTTTAATAAAAGGTCATCTCAAGGTCACATGGGCCACAGGGTCAAGTTCAAGGTCAAAGTAAAGTTTTTTTTTGTAAAAACATGTTACAAAAGATTAGTTTTTTAAAGGAGTAGGTCAATATCCCATAGGTTTCTCCTTAAAAAATAATATTTTTATGTTTTAGGTTTAATTTTAGTGGGTTTTTTTTTTGTAAACGCAGGGCATCAGCCATTATGGGGCTACAAAGAGTGTTAAAATGGACAAAAAAATTATTTTTGAATTGAAATATATCCAAAAGCCTTTACTGTCCCATGAATGTTTTTGTATTTTAGAGACATTATGTAGGTAGTCTTGCAATATCACAAAAGAAAATTATGGGATACCCAAGGCTTTTGGAGAAAATGACCATTGAAAAAAGCTCGAAAATTCATTTTCGCGCACTTTTGAGTCACGACACTTTGGTAAGCCAAAGGTATCGCACAGGTTTTTCACTATTTTTCATCTCTACTCATAGCAGTTAACAAGAACCACCCAAATAACCTATGGGTAACCATGTACTTTGTTGTAATTTTTCAGTTAAAGTTCTCCAAAAGCTGTTTTTGAAAATTTGGGTCAATTTTCAAGCTCTCATATTTCGGCAACGACAAAAATAATGATTTTTTTTTTTAGAATTGTGATTGTAGTACTAAATGGTACAATATGTTGAAAAATTAGAGAAATTGAAGGTTGTCACTAAAGAAAGTCTTGATTTTTGTCTGAATCTTACAGAAAGTGGCTCTTAAGGTCATGAGACAAAGAAGCCTATTGATTTTCGGCGATTTCCGATAATTACTGCCAGAGTTATGGCCCTTGATCACCTCAAAAAATCTTGTGGACACTCTAAAGACCAAAGTTAATATCCGATTGCCTTTAAATTTATACATAGTGTTTAAGGTCATGAGACGAAGAATCCTATTGATTTTTAGCAATTTCCTATAATTACTGCCAGAGTTATGGCCCTTGATCACTTTGCAAAATCTTGTTGACGCTCTAGAGGCCAAAGTTAACATCCGATTGGCTTTAAATTCATACACAGTCTTTAAGGTCATGAGACGAAGAGGCCTACTGATTTTTAGCAATTTCCTATAATTACTGCCAGAGTTATGGCCCTTGATCACTTTGCAAAATCTTGTGGACGCTCTAGAGGCCAAAGTTAATATCCGATTTACTTTAAACTTATACACTTTGTTTAAGGTCATGAGACAAAGAAACCTATTGATTTTCAGCGATTTCTGATAATTACTGCCAGAGTTATGGCCCTTGATCACTTCAAAAAATCTTGTTGACGCTCTAGAGGCCAAAGTTAACATCCGATTGGCTTTAAGGTCATGAGACGAAGAAGCCTACTGATTTTTAGCAATTTCCGATAAATACTGCCAGAGTTATGGCCCTTGGTCACTTTGAAAAATCTTGTGGACGCTCTAAAGGCCAAAGTTAATATCTGATTGACTTTAAATTTATACAAAGTGTTTAAGGTCATGAGACAAAGAAGCCTATTGATTTTCAGCGATTTCCGATAATTACTGCCAGAGTTATGGCCCTTAATAACTTTGAAAAATCTTGTGGACGCTGTAAAGGTAAAAGTTAATATCCGATGACTTTAAATTTATACACAGTGTTTAAGGTCATGAGACGAAGAAGCCTTTTGATTAAGATACTTACTGCCAGAGTTATGGCCCTTGATAACTTTAAAAAATCTTGTGGACGCTCTAGAGGCCAAAGTTGATATCTGATTGACTTTAAATTTATACACAGTGTTTAAGGTCATGAGACGAAGAAGCGTATTGATTTTCAGCGATTTCCTATAATTACTATTGATTTTCGCCAAAGTTGATATCTGATTGACTTTAAATTTATACACAGTGTTTAAGGTCATGAGACGAAGAAGCCTATTGATTTTCGGCGATTTCCGTTAATTACTGCCAGAGTTATGGTCCTTGATTCAAAAAATCTTGTGGACACTCTAGAGGCCAAAGTTAATATCCGATTGACCTTAAATTTATACACAGACAGTGTTTAAGGTCATGAGACGAAGAATCCTATTGTTTTTCAATGATTTCTGATAATTACTTCCAAAGTTATGGCCCTTGATCACTTTGCAAAATCTTGTGACGCTCTAAAGGCTAAAGTTATCATCAGATTGACTTCAGATTGATACACAGAGTTAAAGATCTTGAGACGAACAAGTATATTGATTTTCAATGAATTTTTATGACTTGGAACAGCTAAATCCATGATATTAAAAGTTTTGTATACAAATACAAATTCTAATGGTTTTCTGAGTTGTTGCTCTTAATCAGATTTTAGTGTATTATAAATGTTTCATTACAGAAAAAAGTAAAAATATGCGACAACTCTTGTTGACTGCCCGGACGATTTAGCTGCTGTGGGCGTATGTTACGTTGCCTGGCAACCTATCTTTAGGACCTTGTGAACCCTTAAACGACGAAAATGATGTCATCTGTATAAAATTGTCTATTAAATGCCCCTAATTACCTACAAAAGAATAAATATGCGACAACCCTTGTCGATCGCTCAGACGATTTAGCTGCTGTGGGCGTATGTTTTGTTGCCTGGCAACCCATCTTTGAACTATTATAGGGCAATTCCACGCCAAAGTATATTACAATTAGGTGAAAAATTCAATTAGTTGATAAGTGGACAAAAATAGTGATTTTTTTTTTAATTTGGTCTTGTGTCAAGATTTACATTGTAAATGTCGAATTTATAATTTTATTGTATTTTCTTACTTTGTGTTTGTTTGATAATTCTGAATCCTAATGAATGATTTGGTATTAGTTATCTGACAATGTATATAATCATGACATTATACATTAAAATATGAAAATAATATGTTTTTAAAAGGTAACCAACATTGAAAAATATCGCTAGGAGAATGTACGTCCGTTACCAAATATTTACATTTCTTTTCTCTCCCATTCATATTTATGTATGGAATTGTTTAAAACTTCATATCTAAAGCTAGAATAACTCATTCTTATTATAATGACCATAAAAGAAAAGATTTGCAAAATTTCTCAGAATAACTTGGGTTTTCAAAGATGCACGTCCGTTACGTTTCGCAGTATTTCATGTTCAAATATTTACATTTTATCTCTCTCATTCATATTTATTTATGGAACTGTTCAAAAACTCATATTTGAAGCTAACTTCACCTATTCTTGTTATTATGACCTTAAAAAGAAAACATTTGCCCAAATTCTCTGAATCATTTGGGGTTTCATAGATCATGTATGTACGTCCGTTACCCAAATTTTAGGGTAAAAATGTACGTCCGTCACAATATTTTATTCAAGAGTAATGATTTTAGGAAAGTAACTGCTCCATTAAGTTAAATGAATTAACTATTATTATTATCTATCAGTCCCATTACTTGAAAGTTTACATTATCTCATGTAATATGTAATGGGTTAGCAATTTGCACTCGTACTAGGTTACAAGAATCCAAATATGAGAAGTGATCATACACTGCATACAGTACACATCTAGTATAAGTACCCTTTCTTATAGGTATTAAAACTTTTGAATTCCACAGGACAATTCACAGAGTTTTGCAACTATGTTCATTTAGGCAAATCATGGTGTTCATTTCTGTACGTCCGTTACCTATACTTTGAGCAGCCAATATTTATTTCAGGTGTTCATGAACAAATAAAGTCATATGTCAATTAATACTTAAAACATATGTCTTTAATGCTATATAAAACCCAAACAGTTAATTATTCACGGTTAGATAATATTGGAAGTATTCAAAATATGACGAGTTCAAAATGTACGTCCGTTACCGTGGAATTGCCCTTTAGAAAGAACGACCAGCTCTTTATCATAATCTTACATAATGCTTTTGTAAGTCCAGATATTAAAAGATGACATAATTACTATTTTCACTATAAGAATATATTTTATTATCTGTGTTTTATTTATCTTTACCTTTATAATTCTGAATTGTCTTTATTTATAAATTGAATTTTTTGTATTTCAGAGATGAAGTTAATGCATGGTGATGAATTAAGAATACGATATATTGGTGATCAACATAAAACATGGTCTGGTGTTGGTCATGTTATTAAAATACCTGATAGTATCCTTTACAAAATTTATTTTGTAGTGTTGAAACTACTATTCGGATATTCCTTAACGGATACAAAATAAGGGTTGTCCGAATCATTTTACTATCCGTTAACTATTCGTTACAATATATTCTGACATCCTGTATGCTCTATCTCTATATTTAGCCATTTTTCCATCTGATTACTTTGAAATTTTCCCCAATGCAATTGATCACGTACGCAGCTCTGTGCATAAATGTCAACATTATGCGTATTATTTAGTGATAGTAACTAATAAAATTATTAATGCAGTGCAACGAAAACAGTAGCCTAAATAAAAAAAATATTCATTCATTCCCTGCGCTAGTTTACTGCATACGAGTTTAGACGGTGTTTTGACTTCCCACAATGAAATTTATTCATAACGACCTAGGTCACGTATATTCCCACTTACTGATTGGTTCAATAGTACAATAGTAGTAGATTATCAGAATGAGGCAAACAACCTTGGCGGAATAAATGGCACATGTTTTTATTTTACTTTTTTCATTCGTGTTGATTGAGCAAAATGATCAGTGGGAGGGTACGGATAACAAGAGTAGTTATACTATACAAATTCCTTCACCTCATTGATTTTTTGGAATGTCATAGATAGTCTTAATAATTACGGATAAAGGTAGGCACGTTTTTTTCTTCGCGGCTCTAACAATTTGCAAATCGAAAGTACGATTTCATACTCGGCATACACAGACACTCATATTACATTGAAACAAGTAAGAAATTATGAGTACCGGTATATGAACTTTTGAGGAAAGGGGTTTAATATAGGCTATGCCTGTTCCCCAATCCCTATTCAGATACAAATACTTTTGATGGAATTTCACGTCTCCGAATTATCCGAATAGTATTCAGATAGCCAACAAAAGTATTCGGATCACAAATCTCGATCCGATTTTCAACACTATTATGTTGCTATTATAATGTATTTCTAGTTCAATTATACTAAATGATATTGAAACAGTTTATATTAAAGCTGCTGATTAAGTTGTGAGTCTGTAAATGAAACAAGCCCAACTATATTGTACCTTCTCTTGAATTATGTTCCTTATCATATAACTAGATTTTACAGATGAAATAGCTATAGAATTAAAGAGTAGTGTAGGAGTACCCACAGAATGTACACAGCATTTTGTTGTGGATTTTGTGTGGAAATCAACTTCATTTGACAGGTAAGACTCACCTTCAGATTTCTATTAATTTATTTTCAATTGATATTTGCTCAGATGAGGCACTAATGCTTTGAAGATTTACCTGGTCAGTAAAAACAAAAATAATTTTCAATGACATAGTACATTTACATTATTGTCCCCTGCCTTTGGAAGAAAGCAGGGGACTATTAAAATCAGGGGTCTCGATAACCGGATTTGCATCGCACTTTGCAAATCAAATCTTGCTCGTTGCTAATCACACAAATGCTAATCATAGATTTTGCTTCTTTTATATCTTAAATGGACAATTTGATGTCCCCTTTTTAACTGTAAAAAGTTGTTGACAGTTTTTATAACGATTTTTCGACATGTCTTCCCTAGTTTAGTCACGATCATCTAGTATTTAATACCTATTACCAATGACCTCTATTACTCACTGATCTATATGGGTCATTCCACAAATGAGGGGTCCGATTGAAAATTCATACATATCATTGCTCAAAGCAGCAGAAACACATATTTACTGATCACCAATTGTTTAAAAAATTAATTGATCATGTTTATTATTTTATACTTATATTCTATTAAAACATAGAAATTGGTTTGAGGTTAAATTTTTCAATGTTGCAATTCGTGGTGTCCCTGAATTTATGTGTTACGTTTTGGGGACATTTTGTACTCAACATTTTAACAGCTGGACCATGTTGAGCACAAGTTGAGACTAATATTTCCAAATATTTTCGCGAAACATGCAGCAGAGAATCTAAGATTTTGTTTGCTAGTTTTTCATTTCTTAACAAATGGTAAGTAATCTCAGTGGGAGGATTTTTATTCACGTCTCACAACGTAAATTTTTGTGTCCCCAATATTTACGTTGTATTATTGTTAAGTTAGCCACGATCTCAACTTGAAAAATCAAACCAAAATGTTTCATCTTAATTCCATTTGGATGACGTAATAAATAACAAATTCCGAAAAACATAAGCAGTTGTATTTTGTAAAATTGTCTGTGAAAATTTTATTAGCTTTGTCGATATTGAAAATCGAGTCCCTCGTTCAATTTACGAAGTGCTTGTTTATGCCGCTGGTAACGCCCTCTATTAGCTGCGAATTACGTCAGATAGAGATGTTTAGTTTATGGTCACAGGATAGACATACCTAAAGCATCCAATGGCCCGGCGAATGGATATTTTCTGAATGAGTTCGAATCAAAGTTTACCGTCCCTGTATTTACGTTGTTATCGAAATTACGTTGTGATGTGAATTTACCCCCTGCATATGACGCATAGATGCCGAACGTTATAATTGCCGAGTCCAAATTAACAGTATTCTTCCATAAATGAAAATTATCGCTTCCTTGATATTCGGGGATCACGGGACAGAATGGTCGCGGTGTCAGAATATTATTATGAAAATGGGAAACCAAAACTTTCGTGTCCCTATTATTAACTAGATATTGTATTAGTATACGCGTATGTAACCAATGCTACATTATTTTCTTTGCTTTCCGGTAAACAATCTAACAATCTTGAAATGTTATCTTGCTCTTTTCAAGTCTTTTGTTTCATTGTTTTGGCTAAAAGGATTCACAACGTAAGCTATTTAAAGGGACACAACCAATTCTCAAAGACTGCTACTTATTTTGATTGTTGAAAGTTTAATGTTTTTTTTATAATTGAAAGTATATTTATTTTTCAAGTTTTAAAGGAGAAATACTACATAATATGGTTTGATTTAATTATTAGTAGGCAAGTCATCAACATTTGGTGTCCCTTTACCCGTGAAACTGCAGTACTCCGAATCACAGTAAACGGCACTAAACCTTTCCATGTTGATTTTTCATGATAACTGATTAACAAGTAGTTCATATCGATTGTTAACGTCATACAAACTTCATCAATTTTGCAAAATCTTTATTCTATTAAAAATCTACAGAAACTGTTCAGTTTGTATCGGGAATTTGGGAATATCCATGTAATCGACATTGACTGGCTAGAGGTGTTGGCACAAATATACACTATTTCTGCTTAGACTTCTAATAACGGTGCCTCGTTTCAATAAAAATAATACATCATAAACACATTAGTATATCTTATATATGCACAGAAATTTAGCATCAACAGTCTAATTTGGTGTCCCTTTACACAAGAAATCTGTACGTAACCTGTCATGTAAAATCATTCATTTCTTTTTTTTGGAACTCGACAATGAGAAATCACCAACTGTCCTTCAAATGGCACACATTACTCATATTATTTGTATAATTTTATAAGTGATTGAGATAACTTAAAATTTTAGTACCTATGTCACACTTTGGACCCCTCATTTGTGGAATGATCCATATTACTGCTTAAAGTAAAGAAAAAAAAGCAGAGTTTTAGCACCCCCTATATTATGCGGAGTTACATCCCCCAAGACATAAACACTGACTGAGTGATTGAGAGTTTTTCACTCAGAAAACCAGGGAATAAGGTAGTCAAAGCACTGTGTTAATATCATGCATGTTTATGCAATGTGAATGAAAACAGACAATCAAAGTATGTCTTTTGCGTTATAAATAATGATAACGGAAAAGACTTCTTGCATTGAGATAGACATCCTCTTGAGTTATAAACCTAAAGAATACAGTGAAAATTTCCATAAAAATTCATAATTACTTTTCAAAATATGTCTTTACCGTTAATTGTACGTTTTTGTGAAAATAGCCCATACCTCCATTAGGCCGTGTTGAATTGATTCCTTGTTTCTCCTGCCACCACTCTGGCAATCATGTGCGGTAAACACAATACAAAGTGGGTTTCAAAACACAAAGTGGTCTGGCATAATACCTATATAGTCTGAGGGTTGAGTACCATTTTTAATAATATTATAAATAATCTAGTTATATTATTGGTTAGAATAAAAACACAGATAATATTTATTTAATTAAATAAATTTAATAACAAACTGAAATTTGGTAACAAGTGGCTTCTTTGTTTAACTTTTTAAAAAATGAAATAACCATATCTTGATATAAATTTTCCGTATTCTTGTGTTACAATACAATGGAAACATTCCAGTTAGACGAAATTTGATTCGCTTGTTGAGTTACAGATGGTTTCGACAATATCATCGAACGTGAAAGTGCTGGGAATACACACCAAAGTCGAGTCGAGATAAGTAAATTCGCGTACCGGTCGGCTTAATTTATTGATGTTCAAGGAAATAATAGTGGTCCCGTTCGTTCGTTAATTTATTGATGTTCAAAGAAATAATAGTGGTCCCGTCATGGACCTTATTTTATAATACATGGACCTTATAATTATAAGGTATAATTATAAGGTCCATGGTCCCGTTTGTTCGTTCGTTAAACTCCAGAAACGAACGAACGGGACCACTATTATTTCCTTGAACATCAATAAATTAGGCCGACCGGTACGCGAATTTACCTATGTCCCGGCATAGCTCACCATTTTGTAAGGCGTGCGTTATTTATTACACAAGATATGATTGGGTAATACTTGAATAATAATGACATGTGTTATAATTTTAGCCAATGAAAAAATTGATTATTCAGGTTTCCGGTTGAATATTAGCGACTGTCTTACAATTTATAATATGCTTTCTCATTAGCCGAAATGACTGCTACACGCGCCATTTTGCCGAATTCATCCAATCATATACAGTGTAACTTATTCCATAGTATGCGGGCCCCTACATGTGTATTATCAACCGGATCCATTATTCGGTGCAATGCCTATTTTCTGTCTTGTCCGCAGGTTTATCTTGTAGATTTTTGTTTTGCGTGTAGTGCACCCCCCTGCACTTACTTATTTAGTTCGTAACGAGGAATAAACAACGAGAATTGACTTCTGATGTTTGGTAGAATTTTTTTTAGATGTTATTAACGTAATTTTTTAAATATTTTTTTTTGTGTTAAAAACGTAAGCGCACGATTTTCGGGGTCCTTGACCTAAGCGCGCGGGCGAGGAGAAACGAGGAATCAATTCAACATGGCCTTACGCACTAAGATCTTGGTTCCTTTTGATAATCGCGGATACCCAAACTTAACTTCCTGGATTATTATGGAAGAATAACATTGCCACTATTATTCCAATGTTCACGGTGCGAAATTGTCTGTCAGCAGTTCAAAATACTTATTTTAGTTTTACACTACAGTTTGCAATTTCCATTGCTCCACAGTACCAATGTCACAGTGTTAAAATACAGAATACACTTTTCAATAATACTAAATACAGTACATAATAATTATTTTGCTCAGTACACTTCTCCATTCTGCATTTTACATAATAGACTAATGCATAATGGAACTTGGCATATTAGAACACACCTTATATGGGATTTACGATGAAGCTCATTTGCATACGGAAAAAAGTCAGGGCTAGGATAGAAATTAATAATTTACACGATCAATCTACAAAAATGATCAGTAAAAGGGGGCGCTACTCATAGACCTTCGGAAAACGATCAATAAAATAGAATGAAATGGGGTTAAACATCCTACTGTTCTTTTCTGACTGGGTTTATGAAAACGGGCATACACCATGCAGTTTGTTATATAATTAAATCATATCAAGTAAAATAAAAATGTACCTCAACCATTCAACACACAGATTTTATGTAATTATTGTTCATGTATGTTGAATAAAAAAACTTTAGTGGTATCAGATAGCAAGTTTAGTCCGTTAATTGATGTACATGTACATCACGAATTTTCGTACGGTAAAAATTCCATTCCTAAATTTGGAATATTGGCTGGGGGCAGCTATGAACCGTTTTGCGCAGGCGTCAGTTTACAATGGCCGCCAAATTTGAATGAATGTTGTTTATGTTTTTCTCTCGCACAATTCTACATGAAAATAGTATTAGATTATTATAAATTTGTGTCAGTTGTGGCAGGAAATGATTTCTTTTGGTGATCAAAGAAGAATTGCGGTGGAAAATAGACGGTAAGGATTCTAAAAGAACCGAGATGGGGAAAAGCCTTATTTTCATACTAGTTGTCATTAAGTCACACCAGTAACGCAGAGAGCAGTCAGGGCAGGCTCTCATATTTTCGTTAATAAAGTAACTAGGATTAGGCCGTGTTAAATTAATTCTGTGTTTCGGGTCAACTGCGTGCGTAGCTTTCACATCGTCAAATCGATGGTTGTGTTGATTTTCTACGCGGTAGTTTGTGTTGTCTTTTGATTTCGGCAGCTCCGTGCGTGTACCTGTCCACACAGTACATTCTTCACTATCGAACACACGTCTGTCTATTTTAGGCGACATACGCACATTTTTAATTTACACGCATAAATATTGGTTTAAAAAAATAAAATAATATCATAATTTGTATACAGAAAGATTTGAAAACAAATCACGGTCATAAATTTAAAACGTTATTACATTACTCCATGTGACAGCACGCAAACTTTCGCTGCCACGTTGTCCTTGGTTACATGTGTACATAGGCTTGTTTGTCCTGACACGCGCTGATTTCTTATAACAGTTTAACGGACTGGACAATTTTTATTTTATTTACTATTATTTCCAGTACAGCGCGACTTATTTCAACTTGCCTACAATTTTCATCATAGCGGATTCGGTGGCGGTAGACACTGGTGAAAACACACTCCTAAATCTACAAATATCGGTACTGCCAGGGAAAATAAAGGCACTGCAGTGGACCGTTGTAGAAACTCCATATGAGTACACTATTGTGATGCTAGTTAAAATGGCTTTGTGTAATGACTCTGACGCACTATTTCGTCGTCATTATCTGTCAAATGCACAAAAAAATGAAATTGACCACGTCGTGTATACTGTTTTGCCATTTCGAAGTATAGATTTAGCTTCCGTGTTGTTTTTGAAAACTCGTGTTTAAATTGGCAGATATTATTAAACAGTGATAGGGGTCTAAGTAAGTATATGTTGGCAAATTACCCTACCACAACCACCCACATACCGAAAAAATAGAATGAAATATTCTGAGTTTGTGTTGTGTTGAAAAAATGTGTGTTGTGTTAAAAATTGGGAGGTGTGTTGTGTTGACCTCCCTCCCTCATTGAATTCTGGAGACCCTAAAACCTGAATCAGAGAATTAATTTAACATGGCCTTAGCCACACCGAGCGCACAATTTCACAAAAACCATGGTCATCCAGCGAATTCCTTATTGCATGCTAGCTTGATTCGCTCTTATTGTACGGTAAGCTGATTTATTGTATGCCAGCTTGATCTCTGCCCATTATCCTTGTAGATCAATCACGTAATTTATTAATTTCCATCTAAGGTGTATATGTTCTAATATGCTTAGTTCTATTTTGCATTTGTCTATAATGCAAAATGCAGAATGGAGAAGTGTAATGTGCAAAATAACTATTATACTCAGGCAGGGCTCGAAATTTCGTTTTTCCGATCGAAGGCCAACTTTGGCCTACGATAGGCCAAAGTGCAACCTTGATCCAAGGCTTATTTAGAAGGTTTTAATATGTCGATCATATGTAAATCTGTTTATTGTAGATCTTGTTTCTCAGTCAAAATGTTGTTACAGGCCTGCCTATCACATCACGTTCAATATTTTTATTACTTTCACAAAAATAATGCATCCTTACAGTTATTGAGTTCAGGGAGAAAATTCTTATCGTACCGTTTTTAGTACGATTTTTTATTCTAAAAAATATTTAAAAAATTGGCATGTAGCCATATTGAGAGTTAAAAGTATTACTATATCATCGGTAGAGTTGGGTAAAATATCGATAGTATCGATAAGATGTGCCAAAAAGCACTATCGAGTACCGGTATCGTTCTCTTCGTCTATTTTTCGTGCGTGCGTAGGAGTCGACTCGATGTTTTCTGTGACTTAATCCTTTGTATATATATAATAGTACAATAGTCTACATCGGTCACTTTATATTTACTTCAAAGTCTCAATCTCAATGTAGCTTTTTAAAAAAAATGTTAAAATAAATTCACCCACATTTAAACAATACTTTAGTTTGAAACAATTAATAATCGCCATATCATGGAATTCGCTAAATTTGAGATACCCGGATGTGTAAATAATTCAGATTTTTTCCCCTTTCAGAATTCGTCTGCTCATTATAATTTAAATGACATAGCAATGATGGATGACAAAAACGTTTGTATTTCTTCTTTCGGAATCAAGGCTGTATTTTCTTTTTAATAATAACAAACAATTTACGGATTCGTGATGACAAGCTCTTTAGGCTATTACATTTTCTTTAGTTTTTGCACACGAATCGACAACGATTTGTCCACCATGTTGGTATTTGTCGCGCTCACGTACGCAATGTTTTGAATCGACTCGTGCTCATTTTATTTTGGTTCTTGCACATACATAGGCCTATCAATGGTATTTCGTCATTCAGAACCAAGGCTACATTATTTAAAAATAAAGAACAATTTATACGTAATATGAGACAGTTTATTATTAATTAGACGAACAAAAACATCTGTCGGAGTATCACAACATCGTATGGTTTGACTTTAAAACATGTAATCCTGTCTTCATTACGACCGTGAAAATAAGATTGTTTCGATACCGATTATCGATAGTAAAAATAACTCTCGATACCCAGCACTAATCGGCGACCATACATGGCCGTGGATAGTTAAAAATCGGCCACGAATCTGCGACCAAATTCTAAAATTTGAAGGCCAAGGCCGCCGGCAGTGTCGAGCCCTGTACTCAGGCCTCGAAATGTTTTAGGTCTTGACCTACATTGCTCCATATAAGTATCGTAATATGAAACCTTTTTTATACGCCCACATGGAAATGTGGTCGTATATTGCTGTCCGTCAGTCCATCGTCCACAATTTCTTGTGAACACTCTACAGACTACATTTATCATCTGATTGTTTTGAAATTGATATATGTGGTTTGCTTTGGTGAGATGAAGAAGCCTATTTAATTTCAATAACTTCCGTTAATTTCTTCTGGAGGTATGGCCCCTGTTTCACTTTATTGCACCTTGTGAACGCTTTGACAAAAGTTATCAACCAATCTGTATGAAATTTATATGTATCATTTAAATTAGTAAAACAAAGAAGCCTATTGAATTTCAGCAATTTCCGTTAATTACATCTTGAGTTATGGCCCTTGTTTCACTTTGTTGAATCTTGTGAACGCTCTAATGACAAAAGTTATCAACCGATCTGTATGAAATTGATATGCATCATTTAAATTAGTGAAATGAAGAAGCCTATTGAATTTCAGCGATTTCCGTTAATTTCTTCTGGAGTTATGGCCCTTGTTGCACCTTGTGAACGCTCTAACAACAAAAGTTATTATCCTATCTGTATGAAATTTATATGTATCATTTAAATTAGTAAAACGAACAAGCCTATTGAGTTTCAGCAAATTTCCGTTATTTACATCTAGAGTTATGGCCCTTCTTTAACTTTGTTGAATCTTGTGAACGCTTGAACGACAAAAGTTATCACCTAATCTGTATGAAATTCATATGCATCATTTAAATTAGTGAAATGAAGAAGCCATTTGAATGTCAGCAATTTCCGTCAATTACGTCTAGAGTTATGTCCCTTGATAACTTTAGTTCTAATTAAGTGAGAGTGATGAAACTTGGAGTATAGTTTCATTACATCAATACCTTGACTAAGTTCGATAATGAGCATTTTCTGCTCAGGGTAAGCAGAGCAATAAGCAATTTGATTGGACGAGACTTTGGAACACAATAACTCTCCTTCTAATTGAGCTAAAATGTTCAAACTTGGTGTAGGTGTTTATTAGGTCAATGCATTGATGGAGTGTGAAGATGAGCATTTTCTGCTTAGGGTAAGTAGAGATAAGCAATTTGATTGGTTGATGCTTTGGGACAGGATAACTTTAGTTCCAATTAAGTGAGAGTGATGAAACTTGGTGTATAGTTTCATTACATCAATACCTTGACTAAGTTCGATAATGAGCATTTTCTGCTACGGGTAAGCAGAGCAATAAGCAAATTGATTGGCCGAGATTTTGGAACACAATAAGTCTCCTTCTAATTGAGGTAGAATGTTCAAACTTGGTGTAGGTGTTTATGAGGTCAGTGCCTCGATAGAGTGCAAAGATGAGCATTTTCTGCTTATGTTAAGTAGAGATAAGCAATTTGATTGGTTGATGCTTTGGGACACGATAACTTTAGTTCTAATTAAGTGAGAGTGATGAAACTTGGTGTATAGTTTCATTACATCAATACCTTGACAAGTTTGATGATGAGAATTGTCTGCTTCTACCTAAGGAGCAATAAGCATTTTGATTGGTCAAGACCTTGGAACATAACAACTCTGCTTCTAATTGAGGTAGACTGTTTAAACTTGATGTAGATGTTCCTCTTGACGTGAGTTCAATGATTAACATATCGAGCTAAAGCTATGCAGAGATGAGCAATTTCTTTGGTCGATGATTTGGGACAAGATAACTTTGATTCTATCTGATAGAGAGTGATGAAACTTAGTGTATAGTTGATAATCAGTTTGATTGCTCGATACTCTTGAAAAAAATAGATGTGCGATTAATTAATATGTGTCATCTATTTATTTGGGATTTCGGCGGGGGACATCAGCCTCACTGTTGGCTTGTTATGATTTAATTTTAGAATATAATGTTTATTATAACAGGATGCAAGCAGCATTAAAGACATTTGCTGTAGATGAAACATCTGTGTGGGGGTATATTTATCATAAGTTATTAGGACATGAAGTAGAAGATGTTGTATTGAAATGTCAACTACCAAAACGCTTCAGTGCTCCGGGATTACCGGAACTCAATCACTCACAAGTTTATGCTGTTAAAACAGTTCTTCAACGACCTCTTAGTCTTATTCAAGTAAGAATTGTTTATTAACTTACTTTTAAAATAATTACATTTCCTGTATATATATGTAGCACTCCCAAACATTCAATTATTTAAAAATAAATTTTGTGTGTGCATTTGTTGCAAAGAAACTGCTTTATTTTTATTTTTATGAATGTGGACGTATATTGCCATCGCCCCTGTCTCTGTGTGTCGCCTACAGGCCGCAATTCTTACGTGATCGTCTTGAAACTTTACATACTTATTCCCTATACCCTAAGATGATCCCTATTGTTTTTGGTGCATGCCCGACCCCCAGGGGCAGATCCACGCCCAATTCTTGTATTTGTTTGTCGTCTACAAAAATTAAAAAATAAACAACCCAATTGATTAATGACGTATAATGATTAATGAAAATGTGGGCGTATATTGTCGTCGCCCCTGTCCGTCCACAATTGTTTGTGGACACTCTACAGGTCACAATTCTTATCTGATTTTGACGAAACTTGAAATATAGGTTTATCTCCAAAAGATCTCGTCTGCTTTCGATATTGGCATGTATCAGATCGAAACTTCATTGATTATGGCTCCTGTTTGTACGAAAAATCACGTTTTTAGCTTGTGGACCCTATAGAGGTCACAATTTTTATCCGATTTTGTTGAAACTTGAAATGTAAGTTTATAACCCAAAGATCTCGGTTCCTTTCGATATTTGCACATATCAGGGCTTGCCACGAGCAAATTGGAGGCGAGTAGATGACTACTCACGCAAATATAGACTTGCACGAGTGAGGCGAGTACATGTATTTACTCACGCAGAATGATGTGCGTGAGTAGCCATTTAAATTTCATGTGCCTAATGGCAAAGCTCTTGTCACTTCGGTGGAAGCGGACGTTGAATAAAGCTATTTCACACACAATGACAATGCATACTCTTTTATTTCCTTGGCAGTAATATTATCTGTAAATCGTCTTCCCATGACAAGAACGTTGCAAGAGAAACTGGGCTTCCCTTTGCAATCGTTGGCGTGCTGAGGGGATTCGGGTAAAGCTTAGAAAGGTAAAAGAACAGGCAAAACAATTTCAATCCCATCAATTTGCAGAAAAGATGCGGGATCGAAAGAATTGCTATTAATAGAAACGACAACATCCGCTCAATGTTTGATTATCCAGACACGGCAAAGGACATCCGCTTAAAAACCGCCTGGCAGTACGCGTCTCAAAGTATTTTTAGTAACAACAGTTGGCACTGGAAAGACACGCCGCGTGCGCAATAGTGCATCGATATGAAGGCATACAAATTGTTTACGGCTTTTTATATTACGATATTCAATTATTTCTGATTAAATTATTTTTTATATTTGCGCGAGTACTTAATCACTCACGTAAATTTGGTTTTACGCGAGCGTAGCGTGCGCGCGAGTAATTACTATCGTCTCGTGGCAAGCCCTGCATATCGGACCATAACTTCCTGAATTATGGCCTCTGATTGTACTAAAACTAGCGTTTTTAGCTTGTGGACCCTATAGAAGTCGTAATTTTTATCTGATTTAAAAAACGTATTATTATATCACCGTTACACCCTAAGGACGACTGAGTTCGAATTTTGTGAAAATCGGCCCAAAATTGACAGACAAAATGGCTGCCGTTCGTTATCAAATAGCCTAAAAATATTGTATATCAAGGTTGTGGACCCTATAGAGGTCACAATATTTATCCGATTTTGTTGAAACTTGGTTCTTTTCGATATTCGCGCATATCGAACCGGATACTTCCTGAATTATGGTACCTGATTGTACGAAAAATCGCGTTTTTATACGCCCACATTTTCATGTGGACGTATATTGTCGTCGACCCTGTCTCTCCGGACGTCCGTCCGTCCACAATTGTTTGTGGACACTCTACAGGTCACAATTCTTATCAGATTTTGACGAAACTTAGGTTTATCTCCATAAGATCTTGGCTGCTTTCGATATTGGCATGTATCGGATCGAAACTTCATGGATTATGGCCCCTGTTTGTACGAAACTTGAAATGTAAGTTTATAACCCAAAGATCTCGGTTCCTTTCTATATTCGCGCATATCGGACCGTAACTTCCTGAATTATGGCCCCTGATTGTACGAAAAATCGCATTTTTAGCTTGTGGACCCTATATAGAGGTCATAATTTTTATCTGATTTAAAAAACCCGTATTATTATATCACCGTTACACCCTAAGGATGACTGAGTTCGAATTTCATGAAAATCTGCCCAAAATTGACAGACAAAATGGCCGCCGTTCGTTCTCAAATAGCGTAAAAATACGGTATATCAAGGTTGTGGACCCTATAGTAGGTGTCACAGCTCCATTGCCCGCGTTGGAAGAAAGTCGTTTTTTCCGGATTTGTAACCCTTTTTTAACTTAACGTCAAACAGTGGCTACTTAATCTTTTGTAATAATTTAAAAATATTTGGGAAGCCGATATTATGTTCTTTTGTTTGATATAATTTTTATATACGTGTTCGTTTTATTTTTTTCATAAGGGTAAGTTGAAAAACGTCAATTTGCCGTGTTTTGACGTTACGCAGAAAAATTTTGTCACGTTTTTAAATGAGGGTACCCCACTTCAAATGCTCGGCGAGGTCACTCATTATTAATATTTCTTTTTCATTTTAATATCATTAGAAAGATAATTGAACGATCTTTCGATCGGTCGGGGGTGCTTTGTTGACATTTCAAAATACCATGCTTTTTTTTTTAAGTTGAACACTTCAATTCACATAATCTTTTTTTGAGGAAATTTGCCAATATAGCACCCCCAACCGATCGAAAGTTTGTTTTATTGCCGTTTCGATGCTATTAAAATCAACAAAATCGGAGCATGTCAAGTGACCTCGCCGGGCATTTGAAAATGGTATACATCGGAAAATGTTTTGGAAAATAATTAATAACGTAGTTTTGCATGTGATGACGTCATTTCAACACGCGAAGAAAAAAATAATTTCAAGTTCCTAAGACCCATATTCACGGTAAATTACGTCTCAATGCAACTCATTGTTCATTTATGAAATTAGCGTTATGTTATACATGAATAAATGACTTGCCTGAAAAGACATAATGATAGATAATTCCATTATTTTGATGCCTGATCTCGACAAGGATCCACAATGTTTACATCACGTGACTCATATTCGCGCGCTTTTATCGAAGGGAAATTTCCTCTCGTCTCAGCTCCTATTACACACGCCTTTACGTTTAACACCAAATATTTTTCAACAGTTAAAAAATTGCCAAACATAGACAAGTATTTCAATGTTCTGAATTACTTAATTCTCTGTTGTTCATGCCTAATTTGAAGTATTTAATGTGCACACAAATGAAAATGAAATCGGAAAATATCAACACGGTATGGGAGAACCATTTCCGGTTGCGACTTGTATTCGTCTGAAGGAACGGAGTTACGGATAATAATAACATGATTTCTGACCATTGTAATACCCAAATAAAGTTGGAATGGCAAAAGAATTAACACCAACAAAAAATAATTTAAATAATGGCTCAAATTCTGGAATTCCCGTTGACGATTTACAACATTTCATTTGAGATTAGTGCCGTGGTAAGTCAATAAAATGGCCGTACAGTTACAAAGGCAATTTATTCAATATGTTATTATATATCGGTTTTCATACTAATTATTTATATGTTTAATTCATTGTAATTTTGGGAAAATACATTTATTAAAACCAAATTTATTTGTTAGCCAGTAAAAAACAAATTGAATCTAGGCCGACAAACACAGGGTGAAGGCTTTATTAAATTTAATAGGCCTAGATTTGATGTTGTTGACGGAAAATATACGAATAAAAAAAGGGGAGTTGCTCCACGATAGTCTACATTTGGAGGAATAATGAAAATGTTCAAATGTAAAGTAGACCTACATTGTAAAAACAAAACAATTCTTCCAGTCAAAATCCTAGCATTAGTGCCACCCTAGGCCTACATAGTACATGTACCTTAGCCTACTGACTGTCGTATGGGTACCTACCTAGTCTTCTTTTAAAAGTTTTAGAGAATTATTTAGATGCACCACAAATAATTTGGTTTTTTTGGTCAATGTTGTTAGATAATATACAAAATAGAAATGTTCTTGTAACATGTAAGCAATAGGCCTACATGCAGAGAACAAACAATAGTGAAACAACAGTTACCAGTATGTTATTTTTAAAATTATATAGTTGCTATGGCAACCACCCAAAGTTCTTAATATTTTACTAAAAATTATGCAATTTATAACAATTATACAATTTATAACATTTAATATCACATTGGTTTTAGATGCTAAAAGCTTTCTTTAAAATGGGTGATCAGTTATCACATGTTTCATTATGGTAAAAACATGTACCATTCAAAATGATATAAAATTGCATTTTTGGGGTTAGTTTTTCGTTTTGGTTGCTGACAACAAAATATATGTTAAATATACAAGAGTAAAGATATGTAATTTTTAATATTCACAAACTTCTGGACTTGGAAACAAAATTCACTTCAAGATTTCAATTCCTTCATATTTCATTTACAGTATGTCTTAATACCAGCCAAATAAATGGCAATTTGCTACCGCGGAATGTTTTCAAAAGGGAACCTCTTTCCAGCTCTTGAGAGAAGACATATTTATAAAGATTTTGATTTGATTTATTTTTTAAAATCTTGCCCAATAGCTTCTGATTTTAAATAATACAATTATCAATATTGATGTCATAATTATTGAAAAATAATGCTTTTTTAAAAAAAATATACAGTGGTTGCTATGGTAACCACTCAAACTCCTTAATATTTTGCTCAAACTTATACAATCCATATCATTTTACATTATATGGGTTTCAAATATTTTAAAATGCTTATTTTTAAATGTGGTGATCACTTTTTGGGTCATGGTAAACAGCGTTGAAAATGGTCAAAAATTGCATTTTTTCCATTTTAGTTGCTATGACAACCAAAATTGATAATATATGGCGGATTAAAAATATGTAATTTTAAAAATTCACAAACTTTTTGACATACATGTATTCCCATAATTTCACTTGTTTATCTCCATTCCTTCTTATTTTACTAATGACCCAAAAACGTCCCAAAAATAGGCAATTGTGTGCCGCGGAAAATTGTTGAAAAATGAACATATATTCAGCTCTTGAGAGAAGGCATTTAGATATTTTTACTATTTTTTTTCTGTTTATCTTACTTGATAGCTACTGACTTTAAAATGCACAACAACCAGGTTCAATATTTCAGATATAACATGGACAAGACCATTTTTAATGAAAAAATTGACCAAAATCACTTTGACAAAATGGAATTTTTGAGAAACCTATGTATTTTGGAGTTGCTGGGGAAATCGGAGTAATTGTTACACAAAAGTGAAAATCGAAACATAATTAGCCTTAAAGTTGTATTTCATGAATTTACATCTACATTTTTATACGCCCACATTGAAATGTGGTCGTATATTGTCGTCACCCCCGTCCGTCCGTCGTCCACAAGTTAATATTCGATTGACTTTAAATTTATACACAGTGTTTAAGGTCATGAGACGAAGGGGAAATCGGAGTAATTGTTACACAAATGTGAAAATCGAAACATAATTAGCCTTAAAGTTGTATTTCATGAATTTACATCTACATTTTTATACGCCCACATTGAAATGTGGTCGTATATTGTCGTTAATATCCGATTGACTTTAAATTTATACACAGTGTTTAAGGTCATGAAAAAGGGGAAATCGGAGTAATTGTTACACAAATGTGAAAATCGAAACATAATTAGCCTTAAAGTTGTATTTCATGAATTTACATCTACATTTTTATACGCCCACATTGAAATGTGGTCGTATATTGTCGTCACCCCCGTCCGTCCGTCCCGCGTCCACAATTGCTTGTGGACGCTCTAGAGGCTAAAGTTAATATCCGATTGACTTTAAATTTATACACAGTGTTTAAGGTCATGAGACGAAGAAGCCTATTGATTTTCAGCGATTTCCGATAATTACTGCCAGAGTTATGGCCCTTGATCACTTCAAAAAATCTTGTGGACGCTCTAGAGGTCAGAGTTAATATCCGATTGACTCTAAATTTATACACAGTGTTTAAGATCATGAGACGAAGAAGTTTATTCATTTTCAGCGATTTTTGATAATTACTGCCAGAGTTATGGCCCTTGATCACTTCAAAAAATCTTGTAAATGCTCTAGAGGCTAAAGTTAATATCTGATTGACTTTAAATTGATACAGAGTGTTTGAGGTCATGAGACGAAGAATCATATTGATTTACAACGATTTCCGATCACTTTTAAAAACCTTGTGACCCTCTAGAAGCTAAAGTTATCATCCGATTGACTTCAGATTCATACACAGAGTGTAAGGTCTTGAGACAAACAAGTATATTGATTTTCAATGAATTTTTATGACTTGAACAGCTAAATCCATGATGTTAAAAGTTTCCTATACTAAACGTTAGCATGGGGCAAAACTTTATAAAAACCAAACAAATTCTAATGGTTTTCTGATAATTACTTAATGAGTTGTAACTCCTAATCAGATTTTAATGTATTATAAATGTTTCATTACCGAAAAAAGTAAACTCTTGTTGACTGCCCGGACGAGTTAGCTGCTGTGGGCGTATGTTTCGTTGCCTGGCAACCTATCTTTGATAGTTTCGATACGAAATGAAATATGGCATTGCAAAAAACACCAAAAATGACTTTTTCATGGTGTTGAAAAACCTTTCTTCCGCGAAAAGTCAAAAATCACAACTTTGAGCCTCCATAAAAAAAAAAATTTTCATCCGATTTTGTATCTGTAAAAAGTTTTGTGAGAATAATGATGAGATCTACTTGAATAACTTATAAAATCAAATGTATAATCATAATCTCAAAATCACCTTTTCCACCTACCTATAGAGGTCACAATTTTTATCCAATTTTGTTGAAACTTGAAATGTAAGTTTATAAACCAAAGATCTCGGTTCCTTTCGATATTCATGCATATCGTACCGTAACTTCCTGAATTATGGCCCCTGATTGTACGAAAATTCGCGTTTTTAGCTTGTGGACCCTATAGACTATAGAGGTCATAATTTTTATCTGATTTAAAAAAACGTATTATTATATCACCGTTACACCCAAAGGATGACTGAGTTCGAATTTCGTGAAAATCGGCCCTAAATTAAGAGACAAAATAGCCGCCGTTCATTCTCAAATATGGTATATGAAGGTTGTGGACCCTATAGAGGTCACAATTTTAATCTGATTTTGTTGAAACTTGAAATATAAGTTTATAACCTATAGATCTCGGTTCCTTTCGATATTCGCGCATATCGGACCGTAACTTTCTGAAGTATGGCCCCTGATTGTACGAAAAATCGCGTTTTTAGCTTGTGGACCCTATAGAGGTCATAATTTTTATCTGATTTTAAAAACCGTATTATTATATCACCATTACACCCTAAGGACGGCCGAGTTCGAATTTCGTGAAAATCGGCCCAAAATTGACAGACAAAATGGCTGCCGTTCGTTCTCAAATAGCGTAAAAATATGGTATATCAAGGTTGTGGACCCTATAGAGGTCACAATTTTTATCCAATTTTGGTGAAACTTGAAATGTAAGTTTATAACCCAAAGATCTTGGTTCCTTTCGATATTCACGCATATCGGACCGTAACTTCCTTAATTATGGCCCTTGATTGTAGGAAAAATCACTTTCTTGTTAGCTTGTTCTCTATCCATCTCTCGAAAATGTGGACGTATCCTGTCTGGCAGCCGCTGGTTGAACAGTGGTCAGGAAATTAAATACTTGTAAATTGGACACTCATTATCAAAATTAATCAGTCAGCTTTAAACTGGACACACATAAGTACAAATTAGATGATTTTTGGTGATTTTAAATGATTTTTACAAATTTTTGAACAAAGATTTGAGATTAAACGAATGTGTGTGTTTTAATCAGATTGTTGATTAAAGTGATTACTTTACTATTTATGCCATGATATACAATGTTAAATGATATTTTGAAGGGCCCACCTGGAACTGGTAAAACTGTCACATCTGCAACTATTGTATATCATCTAGTAAAACAGATCAGTGGACCTGTACTTGTGTGTGCTCCATCAAACATCGCTGTTGATCAACTTACAGAAAAAATACATCGAACTGGTCTTAAGGTGGGTATTATAGAACTTATTTGACCAAAAACTGAACCAACATATTGTTCAATTACCCAGTATATCTTGTATTAATTGTCCCCCACCGGGTCTGTCTGTTCGTCCTTCAGTCACACTTTTGGGACACAATAACTCTCTTTTAATTGAGCTAGAATATTCAAACTTGGTGTAGGTGTTTATTAGGGTCAATGCCTTGGTGGAGTTCGAAGATGAGCATTTTCTGCTTAGGGTAGATAACCAATTTGATTTGTTGATGCTTTGGGACACGATAACTTTAATTCCAATTAAGTGAGAGTGATGAAATTTGGTGTATAGTTTTATTGCATCAATACCTTGACTAAGTTTGATAATGAGCATTTTCTGCTCAGGGTAAGCAGAACGATAAGCAATTTGATTGGTCGAGACTTTGGAACACAATAACTCTCATTCTAATTGAGCTAGAATGTTCAGACTTGGCGTAGGTGTTTATTAGGTGAATGCCTTGATGGAGTTCGAAGATGAGCATTTCTGCTTAGGGTAAGCAAAGATAAGCAATCTGATTGGTTGATGCTTTTGGGCCAATAACTTTGGTTTTAACTAAGTGAGAGTGATGAAACTCCAAGTATAGATTCATTATATCATTACCTTGACTAAGTTTCATGATTAAAATTTTCTGCTTAGGCTAAAGAGTGATAAGCAATTTGATTGGTCAAGACTTTGGAACATAACAACTCTGCTTTTAATTGAGGTAGAATGTAAAAACTTGATGTAGATGTTTATTAGGTGAATGTCTTGACCGAGTTCAATGATTAACATTTCAAGCTATAACTAAGCACAGCTAAGCAATTTCATTGGTCGATGCTTTGGGACAAGATAACTTTGATTCTATCTGATAGAGAGTGATGAAACTTAGTGTATAGTTGATAATCGGTTTGATTGCTTGATACTTTTGAAAAAAATAAATGTGCAATTAATTAATATGTGTCATCTATTTATTTTTGGATTTTGGCAGGGAACATCAGCCTCACTGTTGGCTTGTTACCGTCTGTATGAGGCTAGGCTAATTACAATCCCTCACTCATGATTATTTATAAATTTGGTGATGACAAAAGTCATCCTGTGACTCATTTGTTTCAATACATGGCACTGCAAGAACAACAGATGTTTATTTGATATGAATTACTGAATGATGAATTTGGTATGAATATATGAAGTTTTATGATGTCTTACAACCAAAATTGATTATGTTTCTATTCATAGGTTGTCCGTGTTTGTGCCAAAAGTCGAGAAGCCATTGACTCACCAGTCTCTTTCCTGGCTCTGCATAATCAAATTAAAAATATGGAAAGGTAATCTTATTATTAAAGTATATAAGCAGATAGAAAAATGTAAAATCTTGTTCTGGTACAAACTTGTATTCAGTTCTATTCTTAACTCTAAAATGACTCTGTCAAAGTTAATTCTGAAAATAACAAAAAGTTATTCTATTCATGATGTGAACTCCGAATATTGATAGGCTTCATCCTTTCATGACAGCACCAATGAAAAAAAATCTGTTAAATCTGGTAGGACATAGATATTTGAGAAATTAGCTGACTAATATTAGGTGTCACAGCTCCATTGCCCGTGTTGAAAGAAAGTCGTTTTATCCAGATTTGTAACCCTTTTTATACGCCCACATTGAAATGTGGTTGTATATTGGTGTCACCCCCGTCTGGCGGTCCTAAAGTTGATATCCGATTGACTTTAAATTTATACACAGTGTTTAAGGTCTTGAGACGAAGAAGCCTATTGATTTTCAACGATTTCTGATAATTACGCAAAATGAGTGTTGTTTTTGTAGACTGCGTGTTACAAAAAATGTCACACGAAACAAAATGCATGTAACATTTTTTCGCTTATTGTTACTGAATAACATGATTTCTTCTTTTACGCAAAATCAAGACCATAATTATGACAAAAAACGGAAATTTTATTGATTATTTTCCTTCCTTGAAAAATGTAAATAAAGCGATGTCTATAACTGGTGTTTTGTAACATCTTCGTCAGACATTCGGAATTCTTCATTTTTTTCCCGAACTGATCGTTTTTATTGTGGTAAAAATCTTATAGTTTATCGGCTAGGAGTTTACCCTATTCAATAAAAACAATACACATATATCATAATTGATCTCTTTTAGTGTTCGACTATCTGTCCTTTCATTATTGTCGTTATATTCCATCAAACAAATTCTGACATTGGTCAAAAATATACGTTATCGGCGAATGGCTTTTACGCGACACAAACAGTTAATTGTACCGCAATATATAGTGGTTTTGATTTTTCTGGATGATATTTAACATAAATATTGAAAAAATGTTTTCCTTTTGATGTTATCTACGATATTTTATTGCTGATAAATAAATACTGTTATAAACTCCATGAAGTTTGCAAATGCCGATAAGGAGCTTTGTTTACGTCACGTGACTTCTCGCTCACTTTTCCACCCGTTAGCCTTATCCATTTCGGTTCAATTTCTATACATCTTGACTAATTGTTTATACCGATACTTTGATTTTCCAAAGGAATCATTGATTTTCAGATTGAAATAAATTTTAATAAAGCAGAAATATAAATAATGCCAACATTGTCAACTATATAATATATTTTGAGAGTTCCAGTGGACTGATTTAATTATCATTCAGCGTCGGACGTATCATGCATAGCTGTCCGTGATCCGAAAAATCGGTATTTGACTAAATCAATGGACACTTTTTGACATAGTACGAATGTTTTATTAGGTGTCACAGCTCCATTGCCCGCGTTGGAAGAAAGTAATTTTTTCCCGATTTGTAACCCTTTTTCAACTTAACGTCATACGGTCGCTATTTAATATTTTGTAATAATTTTAAAATATTTTGGAAGCCGATATCCTGTTCTTTTGCTTGGTATAATTTTTATATATGTGTTCATTTTATTAATTTCATAAACGTAAGTTGAAAAACGTCAATTTCCCGTGTTTTGACGTTACGCTGAAAATTTTTGTCACGTTTTGAAATGAGGGTACCCCACTTCAAGTGCTCGGCGGCGGTTCCTATTTTTAATATTATTTTTTCATTTTAATATCATTAGAAAGGTAATTGAACGATCTTTCGATCGGTCGGGGGTGCTTTGTCGGCATTTCGAAATACCATGCCTTATTTGTAAGTTGAACACTTCAATTCACAGAATCTTTTTGTGAGGCGATTTGCCAATATAGTACCCCCGACTGATCGAAAGTTCGTTTTATTGTCGTTTCAATGCTATTAGAATCGCCACCGAGCATTTGAAAATTGTATACAATGGGCAATTTTGTCAAAAATAAATCGCGTAGTTTTGCCTTGTTATGACGTCATTTCTACACGAGAAGAAAAATCCATTCCAAGTTCCTGTGACTCATATTCGCCGTAAATTTAGCTCGAAATGCAACTCGATGTTTATTTATGAAGAAATCGTTATGTTATATGAATAAATAACTTGCCTGAAAATAAATAACGATAGTAATTCCATTTTATTCACGCCTTTCGCAGGGTCGACTGTGTTTACATCACGTGACTCATCTTCACACGCTTTTATAACCATGTGACAGGACATAAAAAAATCGAAGGGAAATTTCATCCCAGCGACCACACGTCTCTACTTTTAACAGCGTAACATTGACGAATGTTTCAATGCACTGAAATCATCAATTCGCTGTTCACTGAATTATTCAAGCCCTATTTTAAACCGTTTCTGTGCACACGAATGGAAATGAAACCAGAAAATATCCACACGGGTCTCGGTGCCGACCGCAGCCGTGAGGAAGACTGATAATTAGTACGTATCGATTTCTACCCACTTAAAAAGGGAACTATACCCAAATAAAGTTGGAATAACAAAAGAATTAACGCTAGCTGGAATAGTTTGAAAAATCGCTCAATTTCTGGATTTGCCGTTGGCGATTTACAACATTTCGTTTGAGATGATGGAACCGACAGATTATGAATTTCAATTAGGTCAGTCATGTCGACAATATTACTAATAATTACTATCACTGAGTATCGATACGGATACCCATTTTTGCAAAACGTTTTATTAAATAATTTAGCATTATATAACAGTTGTCATACTAATTATTATAATTTTAATTCTTTGTTTTTTTTAGGAAACTGGGGGGTTGGATGGCTGAATGGTTAGCGTGCGCGCGCTGTATCGTAAAGTCTGTCATTGAGTCGACTGGCGTGGTTTCGAATCCCCGGTTGTACGTGGCAAGGAGTAGGGTTGCCTGTCCAACCTCGTGGGTTTTCTCCGGGTCCTCCGGTTTCCTCCCACTGCTAAAGACCCCTACGCGCAAGCGAATTATGTAAATAAAATTAAACCATATGTTAGTCCTGAAATGACCTAGTTTGTGTCGAGTGGACGTTAAACCCCATTTCTCTCTCTCTCTCTTTTTAGGAAACTATATTTAACACCTCGAGTATCACATATTATTTGTTGGCCAGTTAAACAAGTTGAAAGAACCGACAAACGTAAGGCCTTTAGGCCTTGATTTGATATTTATTTACAATACATTAATTAAAATATACAAAAAAGGAAGTTGCTCAATAGGCTACATACCAATTTGAAGGAATAATAGAAATATTCAAAAGTGAAGTAAAAACAACAATACTTTGAGTTAAATTGTAGCTTTTAGGCATAGGCCTTTATAAACATGACTAGGCCTACCATAGCCTATCAGTAACTGAGTAACCTACTTTTACTCTTTAGTCTTATAGAGAATAATTTTTTTATTGGTCAATGTTATCTTCTGCTGAGTAGAAAATAATATGTAAAAGCAGAATTCTAACAATAATAATGTAAGAAACGAATGCTGAGAACAATGATAATGAAACAACAGTTGTCCGTTTTTTAAAATTATGTGGTTGCTATGACAATCATCCAAAATCCTTAATAATTCACTAAAATTATACAATTCTTAATATTTTATATTACATGCCATGGGCTATAAATATATGCTAAAATGCTTTCTGCTACTATACTTAAAATGTGGTGATCAATTGGTTTGTCAGCGTAAACACCATTGAAAATGGAATAACATTGCCTTTTTTGGGGTGTTTCTTTTCGTTTTGATTGCTATAACAACCAAATATTAAGTAATTTACAAGAGTAAAGATAAGTAATTTTAAAAATTCACAAACATAAATACATGTAAACAAAATTTCTCTTCAAGATCTTAATTCCTTCATATTTTATTTATGTCTTAATAATGTCCAAAATAGACAATTAGCTGCTGCAGAATGTTCTTCAAAAGGGAACTCCTTTCCAGCTCTTGGGAGAAGACATATAAATATTCTGATTTTATTTTTTAAAATCTTATCCAATAGCTTCTGTTTTTAAAATAATACTTTTTATCAATATTGATGTCATGATTATTGGAAAATAATGTTTTTCGGAAAAAAAAGTAAATGTGGTTGCTATGGTAACAGCCCAAACTCCTTCATATTTGTCTCAAACTTACACAATCCATATCATTTGATATTGCATGGGTTTCAAATATTTTAAACTGCTTAATTTTAAATGTGGTGATGGATGACCTTTTGGGTTATGGTAAATAGCGTTGAAAATGGTCAAAAATTGCAGTTTATTTCAGATATAACATGCACAAGACCATTTTTGATGAAAAAATTGACCAAAATCGCTCTGACAAAATGGAATTTTTGAGAAAACCTATGTATTTTGCAGTTGCTGTGGAAATCGGTGTAATTATTACAAAAATGTGAAAATTGAAACATAATTAGGCTTAAAGTTGTATTTCATGAATTTACATCTTTATTTTTGATAGGTTTGATATGAAAAGAAATATGGCTTTTTCAAAGTGTTGAAAAACCTTTCTTCCGCGAAAAGTCAAAAATCGCAACTTTGAGCCTCAATAAAAAAAAAAGTTTTTATCCGATTGTGAATCTGTAAAAAGTTTTGTGAGAAGAATGATGAGATCTACTTGAAAAGCTAATAAAATCAAATGAAAAATCATAATCTCAAAATCACCTTTTCCACCTAGTTTTATAGTTTAATTTACTATCCTTGTATTATATAATGCATCTTCAAGAAGGTATACGCTTGAATGAGAAAAAACGAGTTTTCAAGGGTAGCTATAAAAATATGCACAGCCGAAAGAACACAAACTTTTTTTTATGTTTTTTTTTTTTTGTGGCTCCGTCATTTGTAAATAAATATTTTTTTATTTAAATAAAATATTATAATTAATATTTTGAAAATTAAAATTGTAATATTAATATAACAACAACTTTTGCAAGTTTCTAAATTTTGTATGAAATTCGGTATTTTGTGGTAAAATTAATATTGACTAGAAAATGTCAAGTGAATACTCCAGGGGTATTTCCAACTTTTTATGCATGTTTATTTACATTTAAAAGATGATAAACCGAAAGTATTGACATTTCATAAAATATCGCGATATAGTGATTATATCGCGATATTTTCAGGGATATCGCCCAGCTCTAGTGTTGAGGCCAGTTTTGGGTGTTCATCGTTGTGTTTTATTAGCCATTAGCTTTTTAATGAAATTGTAAGGAATATGTGTACACTCCAATGTATAACATAACTTTTACATGTAATCCAAAGATAATAAAGTATTTTCATTAAAGAAAAAAAATGCCCATTGAATTTCTTCAAAATCATATTTTTGCTTGTACATTTGAAATCAACAAGCAAAATTTTGCTTGTGTGTTTTCAAATAAAGTTCTATCCCTGTGTATAATCATATTCATAATTTCAAAATCACCTTTTCCACCTACTATCAGTTACAGTATAGTGTCGAATACTGAACTTGAGATAGTAATCCCCATAATGTTTCAAAATGAATTGCTTTTCAGTCATCTTTAAGTTTTTACATATTACTGACTTAAAATCTTTAACGTGCACCTAACCAGAAAATAGGCCATATTTTGTAGAATATTCAACCAATTTTTTAACCAAATACATATTTGAGCAGCTGACGGTAAGGTCATTCCAGTAAAAAAAGTTTTATTGAGATTTATTGAGTTTGATTACTACTGCTTAAAAGTAGTTCAAATTTATTCATTGATAAAATGATTTTCTTTGATGGGGTGGTGTTAGTTTGTCTTACATCCACTCACCGATTAACGTTTCGGTATTCTAAAAGCCTCAAGCATTGCGCACTATTCTAGTTTTTTATTGTATTTTCTGTATTATATAGTGTGGCTGAATTACAGAAGCTACAACAGTTAAAAGATGTAACTGGTGAATTATCATCAGCAGATGAAAAACGTTATAGAGCCTTGAAAAAGCAATGTGAAAAGGAGCTTTTACAGGTAGGTTTAAAGATATGTTACCAGTAGTTCAAAAATATATAATGCTTGTCAAAATATGATAGTTTATCTCTAGATGTTAATAAAGTATCCAATCTCTGTCACATAGTTAGACAAATCCTTCTGACAATTTGGTTGAGTAAAACCAGTATTCTGATCAACTGGCTGCCCTATACTGAAATTAACAATGATAAATTGTTCTTCCGGCAGAGTGAATGATCTGTGTGAAATCCCTGACCCCTAAAACCCTAGAAAAGATACCAAGTTTATTCTCCTCGCTCAATTATGCACCTAGACAGGCTAGCCGAAAGGGCGTAGCCGCCATCTTGGAATTCACCATTACTCGCTTCTTTTTTCACCCTGAAAATGATTTCAATGGATTCCTTGACAATCGGACCAACACTCACAGACAAAATGGCCGCCCCTCATACTCAAATGGCGTAAAAATATGGTATATCAAGGTTGTGGACCCTCTAGAGGTGACAATTTTCTTCGGATTTTGATGAAACTTGAAATGCACGTTTATAACCCAAAAATCTTGGTTCCTTTTGATATTTGCGCATATCGGATTGGAACTTCCTGAATTGTGGCCCCTGATTGTACGAAAAATCGCTTTTTGTTTAGCTTGTTCTCTATCCATCTCTTGCAAAATGTGGGCATATCCTGCCTGGCAGCCGCTGGTTCCATAAAACATGGCTAGCTCAATACCTCCCCTGATAATTTTCTTTTAAAGCATGACTGTTTCTGTTTCTATGATTAACGTTACAAATAATAGAACAAATTATCAAAGCAGAAATTGTATGATTGGTAATCAAAAGTAGAGATCTCTTGAGACACGATAAATTTTGACAAGCACGAATGTCAGAGAAAAGATTCTATTTTGATGGCATTTTTCAAATAAAAATATTTAGAAATGCCAGCAAATATTTCGATTGGAATAGAGTGTAAGTAGTTTTGTTATCTAATCTATAGACGATAGTGTGCGAGTCAAGTGCTATATTTAGCAGACAACAGACGATGTCACTCAGCATCGTGGAGAGACGATTTCTAACAAAAAAAAGTTTTGAAATGTGAATTTGTGTTTTACCTTCATCTATAGGTTATGTCAGCGGAAAAGGCCTATAAGACGGAAACTGTACTTCCGTGTGAAAAGAGTATCGACATATACGGTAAATGGATTGCGCATTGACTTTATGGACATCGTCACACGTGGAGGAAGAGAATGGAGTTGTCAAGTAGACCATATGTGCACAGAATCCCTGGATAGCATAGCATAATTAACGGATGTTTTAGGGCGGGTGTCATTAAAAAATTGAATGTCGTATGTCATGGAAATCTTGATCGACATTTGACGGCACTTACAGCCAAAAACTCATGCTTTTTGCTTCATGCAGAATAAAATGAATAGATGGGCCCTTCTTCTTTTACAAGTCTATCGGTATACAATAATTACCAAAATATTTTTAACGATTTGAACCAAGAGCTGACTCAACAGCATGGCTTCATTGCATTATTGAATTTAATTTAAGTTTACAACAGATTTTAAAAAATGGCCTTCGATAATCAAAAAATTGTAGAAATGGCTTTGGTGTTGAACAAAATGGCCTTAGAGTTAGAGAGGCTTTGCTGTCTACAGCCATTTTTCAAAAAAGGCCTTAGATACAGATCAGAGAATTTTGAGACCTTGTCTATGTCCAACCTCCAGGGGCAGTGCCACGCCCAATTTTGTGTTTTTTGTCTACAGGCTGGAATTAAGAATGGATCATCTTGGAACTTGACATATTTATTCCTGTAAGGATAGCAATTATTTATTTTGGTACATGTCCTGACACTCAGGGGAGTGGTACCACACCTACTTTTTTGTGTGTAAATACTCAACAGGTTGCTATAATTAATGTTCAGATTTTGTTCAAATTCAGCATATCAGTCATTTCAATAACAGGATGGTACCTTTTAATATTGTTCCAAATCCAACCCCCAGGACAGAGCCACGTCAAATTTTTATATGCCCACATTTTCATGTGGACGTATTATGCTGTCTGTCTGGTCGTCCATCCACAATTTGTTTGTGGACACTCTAGAGGTCACAATTCTTATCCGATTTTGACGAAACTTGAAATATAGGTTTATCTCCAAAAGATCTTGGCTGCTTTCGATATTGGCATGTATCGGATCGAAACTTCATGGATTATGGCCCCTGTTTGTACGAAAAATCACGTTTTTAGCTTGTGGACCCTATAGAGGTCACAGTTTTTATCCGATTTTGTTGAAACTTGAAATGTAAGTTTATAACCCAAAGATCTCGGTTCCTTTGGATATTCGCGCACATCCGACCATAACTTCCTGAATTATGGCCCCTGATTGTACGAAAAATTGCGTTTTTAGCTTGTGGACCCTATAGAAGTCATAATTTTTATCCAATTTAAAAACCCGTATTATTATATCACCGTTACACCCTAAGGACGACTGATTTTGTGAAAATCGGCCCAAAATTGACAGACAAAATGGCCGCTGTTCGTTCTCAAATAGTGTAAGAATGTGGTATATCAAGGTTGTGGACCCTATAGAGGTCACAATTTTTATCCGAGTTTGTTGAAATGAAATGAAATGAAATGGGGTTTAACGTCCTACTGTTCTGCTCCTATGCTGGGCTAATGAAGACGGGCATACGCCATACAGTGTGCTATGAGGGAAATTTTGCTCGGGCAAGCGGCACTATCGCCTACTCTTATATCGAATTCCAACTGCCAAGGGATCTTTTACGTGCACTTGAAATGTAAGTTTATAACCCAAAGATTTCGGTTCCTTTCGATATTCGCGCATATCGGACCATAACTTCCTGAATTATGGCCCCTGATTGTACAAAAAATCGCGTTTTTAGCTTGTGGACCCTATAGAAGTCATAATTTTTATCAGATTTAAAAAAACGGTATAACTAAACACCAAAATGTGTATTGAAATGGATCCAGCTACCCTGAAGAAAGGATATATTTTGATACCAAACTAGATCATATTATGATAAGTGGATTAAATCTGTTTTTTTCCAGTCAAAACCGGCGGCCATTTTGGATTTTTGCCAATTTGACCCATTTGGGCACGGATTTCGGACTGGGACTTCTTTTGGTGATAATATACGTCTAGACCGACCATAAAACGTGGTCGGCATTTCTATTGCAGCAACTGCCAGGGGATGGTGCGAAATTGAGTTAAAATGCTTGGACTTTTCTCCCGTTTTCGTTGATAACAAACCACGGAGATTCAATTCAATGAGTTCATTGTTTTTTGAATATGAACGCTCCCGACACGACATTTAGGTGCGCAGGGCCGGCCATGAGGCTTCTATTCTGTTTTCCATGTTCCACAATCCCATGCGATAACAGTACACAGCTTCAAAAGTCAGTACAGATGATTTGGTGAATCAATAAGTTGACATTAACAACGGAAATATGTCAGATGTCAATTTATTGTAATACCACGATGGAAAAAAAAAAAAAAATGAAATTAACATCTCAAGGTTCGCACACTCCTTGAAAATCCTGGAAAAATTAAAATGTGATTTACAGTACTGGAAATTCCTGGTAAAACAAGATTACTCTTAAGATATAAAACTGAACGTAGTCATCAAATGTTTCTTCAAAAGTTCACGAGATCATCACGGTAAATGTTCTTCAAGCTTAAAAAAAAATACATTATGATGTAGAATTCTATACAGGGACTTCTGGAATCTGGTAAATAACTCCTGGAAAACTGGAAATTAAGTGTTCTGAGTTGTGCACACCCTGCATCTGAATCTACTAATAAGAATGTATATTATCTTGTGATATCCACGCAATTAATAGATTTATCATGTCCAGAGTAAAAAAACTACCTAATTTATTCCATTTCAACATTTTATTAGGCTATAAAAGAATGTTGTGTTGCTACTTTCTCTGCTTTTAAAATAAAAACGTTAACTTTCGTCCATTTGTAATACCTGTGACTATCTTTCCCAATTTTGTGGGTAGTGAAAGGGGAAAAACATTTAATTAGTTATAAGTTGTATGATATTATATTGATAGGCAGCTGATGTTATTTGTTGTACATGTGTTGGTACTGGTGATCCCAGATTGGCTAAGATGCAGTTTCGATGTGTCTTAATAGATGAAAGTACACAAGCAACAGAACCAGAATGTATGATACCAGTTATTTTGGGATGTAGACAGGTATTATACTATAAAAAATATGATTTTATTGTCCCCCACTATTCGAAGAAAGCATTAAACTGGGTTCATCTGTCTGTCCGTCCATCAAACTTTTTGAGACACAATAAACTTGGTGTTTAGGTCTTTCCATGTCAAGTGGACCAAATTCTAAGAAAGTTGTTTAGTGACTTATGTAAAACTGCAAAATTATGACTCTAGCATTAATATTGACTGATATGGCCTTTTGAATCGAGGTACCCATTTGTCAGACCTGTCAACTCGACCGCATCACGCGGTAAAGTGCCGCGAAAAGGCCTCATGTACCGCTCTACTGCACGGTAATAGATTTCTACCGCATTTTCAAACAAAGAGTTTTTATACGCACACATTCTCATGTGGACGTATTATGCCGTCTGTCTGGTCGTCCGTCCACAATTTGTTTGTGGACACTGTACAGGTCACAATTCTTATCCGATTTTGACGAAACTTGAAATATAGGTTTATCTCCAAAAGATCTCGGCTGCTTTCGATATTGGCATGTATCGGATCGAAACTTCTTGAATTATGGCCCCTGATTGTACGAAAAATCGCGTTTTTAGCTTGTGGACTCATAGAGGTCATAATTTTAATCCGATTTAAAAAAAACGTATTATATCACCGTTACACCCTAAGGACGACTGAGTTCGAATTTCGTGAAAATCGGCCCAAAATTGACAGACAAAATGGCCGCTGTTCGTTCTCAAATAGCGTAAGAATATGGTATATCAAGGTTGTGGACCCTATAGAGGTCACAATTTTTATCCGATTTTGTTGAAACTTGAAATGTAAGTTTATAACCCAAAAATCTCGGTTCCTTTTAATATTTGTGCATATCGGACCGTAACTTCCTGAATTATGGCCCCTGATTGTACGAAAAATCGCGTTTTTAGCTTGTGGACCCTATAGAGGTCATAATTTTTATCCGATTTAAAAATACGTTTAATTATATCACCGTTACACCCTAAGGACGACTGAGTTCAAATTTTTCGTGAAAATCGACCCAAAACTGACTGACAAAATGGCCGCCGTTCGTTCTCAAATAGCGTAAAAATATGGTATATCAAGGTTGTGGACCCTATAGAGGTCACAATTTTTTTCCGATTTTGTTGAAACTTGAAATGTAAGTTTATAACACAAAGATCTCGGTTCCTTTCGATATTCGCGCATATCGGACCGTAACTTCATGAATTATGGCCCCTGATTGTACACAAAAACGCGTTTTTTGACTTGTGGACCCTATAGAGGTCATAATTTCTATCCGATTTAAAAAAACGTGTTATTATATCACCGTTACCCCCAAAACTGACAGACAAAATGGCCGCCGTTCGTTCTCAAATAGCGTAAAAATATGGTATATCAAGGTTGTGGACCCTATAGAGGTCCCATTTTTTATCCGATTTTGTTGAAACTTGAAATGTAAGTTTATAACCCAAAGATCTTGGTTCCTTTCGATATTCGCGCATATCGGAATGTAACTTACTGAATTATGACCCCTGATTGTACAAAAAATCGCGTTTTTAGCTTGTGGACCCTATAGAGGTCATAATGTTTATCCGATTTAAAAAAACGTATTATTATATCACTGTTACACCCTAAGGATGACTGTGTTCGAATTTTGTGAAAATCGGCCCAAAACTGACTTGTATTTTTCAAATGTGTATTTGGACCAAATAAAATACATTCTGATTTACTTAATTTAATTAAATTACATTTAATTTCAACATATTTCTTGTCATCCTATCTTTAATGTCATGTTTACAAATTTTGATGTCAGATCTGGAACAGTTTTTGAAACAGAGTAATTTGCAATCAACTGTGTATCATCTGCATAAGAATGTCGTCCTAGAAACCATGATTATCGATTAGTTGTCCAAAATTCTTAGTATACATTACAGAAAGGACAGGTCCAAGGACTGATCCTTGTGGAATTCCTGAATCATCTGTACTGGCCCTACATAGGGTTGCTAGAAGGCGGTTGCATGGGGCATTATCAGGCCTAATAATCCAGGCAATGAATGATTTTATTGGTAAAAATGAAGTCATTTTCTTCAAGTTCGACCATCAAATTTAATATGAAAGAAATCTGTGCCAGTCATTTTGTCAAAACCAAATATTAGTATTAGTCCTCAACTTCCATTATTAATAGAATTGTTCTCAGCCCCGCAGAGGGTGAGATATAGCATCATGGAATTTATATGTTTTAAACTATGTCTCAAAATAAATTCCTCATCATAGCCTCAAATGGTTTCAGAAAAATTTAATAGTCATATACTGAAGTAGTAGACATGATCATTCATAAAAAATAATTAAAAAAAAAAATCAATAGGCAATATATGGGAAATATTTAAATTTAGAGAATTTTTTTATTTTTAAAAATGACGTTTTTTTTTACTCTAAAATGGCCAGAGCTGGTTCTCTATAACTACAAGGTTGGTGACCCTTAAATTTCATATGGGGGGTATACATCGTACCCAATGACCAAATCTGCAAAGTTTGGTCAAAATCGTTCAACACCGCTTGTGCCGTTTTTTTGGGTAAATTTTGCATGGTTATCTCACGAACTCATTCTTAATATATTTTCACTTTTCACCCATTTGAAAGGTACTCGCTTCCAATACCTGCTCATACGGTGTGTGATTTGATGATGATCAGAGTATTGGAAGCGAGTTGCTTTCTAATGGGTGAAATATGAATTTTCCCTGTTTTTGATCGTGATTCGTGAATCATAAATTAATGGAACCCTCCCTGTACGATATTGATGCATAAGTTTTAAGTACATAGTAAATTGTTCTTAGGTCTGGTTTCATACTGATAAGACAATTGAAAGTATTATTATAATCAATCCATCCAAATTGGTAAAAAATGAAAGAAATTATCATTTACTAGTACTGTTCAAATTTGATGAAAATTAAAAAATGAAGGAGTGAAATATCAAAGATGGACATTTGAATGATTAACTGGTACTAACATTATACTAATTATAGATTATTATTGTTTCTTGTAGCTTATTCTGGTTGGAGATCATTGTCAGTTAGGTCCAGTTGTTATGTGTAAGAAGGCAGCTAGAGCAGGACTGTCGCAGTCTCTATTTGAACGTTTGGTTGTACTGGGTATTCGACCTATTAGATTACAAGTACAATATCGTATGCACCCTTCATTGAGTGCTTTTCCTTCCAATATATTCTACGAAGGTTCATTACAGAATGGTGTCACAGCAGGTAAGAAAATATATCTAATAAATAAGTGGTTAGGCTGCGGTTAATTAATTTTCAATTCTCATGACCTGAGGTTGTGAAATATACATGTATGCTACATGCGGTAATTATTAATTATTATTGAGATTTTTTAGTTTAATGCTGTTTCTATTTCAGCAATAACTAATATCAGTTACTTGGTCATTGAAAACCCAACGGTAACTAGTGCTGATATCAAGTAAAATTTTACGCATCGATGCATTGGACGCAAACATCGATTCTCGTATCGATGCATCAGGAATTTTTTGCCGCCATTTTGTTAATCAAAAATTACAGAAATAACATTAGTATTTCTGATAGAAACATGAATTTCCCTAACATTATCATTAGGCCTACTATAGAAATGTCGATACTTGATATCAGCACTAACGGTAACCAGTGTCTGCGATTTATTCACATTTATTAAATATTTATAGATTAAAATATCTGTTGCACAAAATATAGCTGGGCATCGGAAGAATTGATCATAATAAGTTTAAATTATTAGTGATATGCTTATAAGTTAACGGTTTGTTAATTCATTCAGTCTTGACATTTCATTTTTTTATCCTTCCCTACTACAGGTTACGAAATGACCTGTTCCAAACTATGATTTGTTCTGACATAAATAATTAAAAGCATACCCTTGGATTTTTAAATACAAAATAAGTTGGATTATTTAACATGTCAGTCCAAAGAATTTACTACACACATGGTCATTTCTCTTGTAAAGGAAGATATCAATGCCATGTTAATTGTCTTCAACTTTGAACTCATCGGCACATGGCATCATGATAATAATTATAAATACTTTTATTATTTTGTCTATCTTAATCAAATTGTTTACATCTATTTGTATCTTTGTGTCCTTTTGAGACTGTTTATGATGTTGTTAATAAAATACCATGAAGCAGTGTCAACCAGTCGGTATCTCATGATCAAGGCTATCTCATGGCGGCACTTCTGGGACCGTTGCTAGGTTGCTAGTCACGTAAATTAAATGAAATAATTTAGCAGGAATTAAAAGACATTATATCTTTCTGTGAATTGAATTGCAAATGACAAGTGCCTTATAGAGTATATATGTGGTATTTGGTGAATGTTGTAGCTACCATTGCTTGGTATGGATGACATATATGATACGACTTTATCACTTCCTGTTAGTGTGTATTGTTCACATTCTAGTCTACTTTGCTTATCACCTACGGTGTCATGTTCATCGATAGTGGATTTTAATGCGTCAATTCATTGTTCATATTTAAAGGCAAACAAATATAGTTTTACAAGACAAATTTTTGACCTCACTAAATTTGACCAAATAATTATGGAAGTGCGTAATTATTACGGATGAAAACGGACATGCGGGCGGGTCAAGAGAAACCAACAATTAATTAACCGCGGCCTTATATGCCCATTTCATAATTTCCTAAAAATGCTATATTCTGTCAACCTTGCCTGAATGAATAACATTGCTATAATATAGTCTTACTTTATTAATTTACCAGTAAGATTCATCAGTTAGTGTACCAATATAGTCGTTGCGACATTGTTTTCAATTTATAGGCAAGGAATGGAGGAATAAGATTATATTTTATTTCATTAATTAATATCTTTGGCAAGTTGGTAGATTCACATATATGTAGAATTGTACTTAAATCAACTTAGTCTGTAACTGACAGTTGGCACATGGAGAGAGTTATATAGCCAAAACATAACTGTTTCTGTGTGTCAATAAAATACCACAAGGTTACACGTGAGTGGAATTATTCTAATTGCATCATTTGGCTTAATTTAACCAATCATATCAGAAATTGCACAGGCTTTCTGTGCGTGATATGCATGAATCTTATAAAAGAAATCATAGTAAACTTTTAAGTTAGACTTCCATTAGATTCCAGAGAGGTTCCATCTGAGTTCCTAGACAACCGCGAGGCTGGCTAGGGTGGAGAAATGGTTTTAGCTAGTATTGTAATCTGTGCTATACTTGTATACATGTATTCAGCTATATATATAAAATGTAGAAGTGAACTGTTGCATTGTTATTCCTGGTAAGACAAACGTCTTAAGAAAACAGTAAGAAGTAAATACACAATGTGAAGTAGAAGTAAACGACAGAGACAAATTCTAGACGATCACAAGGCTACAGAAATATGTAGTAAGAAAAGATGCATGGGCCGTACGTAGGATGTGGCAACTGGTCTGGCGTCTCCCACTCTCCACGTCTGACAGGAAGGTCAATGGTGCTACATTAGTGATAATCAGAAGCTATAAGCTAATATTCCTCATTTTGTCCGACAATGAATCTGTTCAATTGATACATATTTGGTTGCCTTCTTGTTCTGAGCATTTTCGCACTGACGTAATGGATATGTTGTAACAGTTTTCGGGCCTAATTTCTGCCCACTCTTATGGCATGAAAGACAGTTTCATTCTCTCTAGATTTCATTTGTCAGAGTCAGGAGCCCTCTTTACTGTGCTTGCAGGTGGGTTTTTATACGCCCACATTGAAATGAGGTTGTATATTGTCGTCGCCTCGGTACGGCCGTCTGTCCGGCGGTCCATCGTGCACAAGCAATTGTGGACGCTCTAGAGGTTAAAGTTAATATTCGATTGACTTTAAAGTTATACATAATGTTTAAGGTCATCAGACAAAGAACCCTATTGATTTTCAGCAATTTCCGATAATTACTGCCAGAGTTATGGCCCTTGATCACTTCAAAAAAATTTGTGGACGCTCTAGAGGCTAAAGTTAATTTCCGATTGAGTTTAAATTTATATGCAGTGTTTGAGGTCGTGAGACGAAGAACCCTATTGATTTTCATCGATTTCCGATAATTACTGCCAAAGTTATCTCCCTTGATCACTTTGAAAAATCTTGTGACGCTCTAAAGGCCAAAGTTATAATCCGATTGACTTCAGATTGATACACAGAGTCAAGCCTGGAAATAAGGCACCAGTCACAGACAATGTCAGGCACAGAAGCAGGCTTTGTCAGGCACTGAACCTCTGGTGACGCTGGTACATGTAAAACCGTTATTTCCAGGCCTGCACAGAGTTTAAGGTCAGACGAACAATGAATTTTGATAACTGAACAGCTAAATCCATGATATTAAATGTTTCGTATACTAAACGTTAGCATGGGGCAGAACTTTATAAAACCAAGCTTGCAAATTCTAATGATTTTCTGATAATTACTTAATGAGTTGTTACTCTTAATCAGATTTTAGTGTATTATAAATGTTTCATTACCGAAAAAAGTAAAAATAATATGCGACAACTCTTGTTGACTGCCCGGACGATTTAGCTGCTGTGGGCGTATGTTTCGTTGCCTGGCAACCTATCTGTATTTAACCGGGAATAAGTGACAATTCATATTATAACAGTAAATAATTAAAATATTCCATAGGGATTATAATAATATGTATATCCTGTAGGTGTGCATATCTGATACGCTTGGTATTAAAGGGTTAAGGAATAACTGAGATTTTGTTTTTATCTGGTATACTGAATGGTAAATCACTTAACTAAAGGATTTAGTTTGTATATCAGGGAAACCCTTCATTGCTAGATTTGCTGCCATACTAAATAATTTTCATGTGGACGTATATTGTCGTCGCCCCTGTAGACACTCTACAGGTGACAATTCTTATCCGATTTTGACGAAATTCGAAATATAGGTTTATCTCCAAAAGATCTCAGCTGCTTTCGATATTGGCATCTATGGGATCGAAACTTCATGGATTATGGCCCCTGTTTGTACGAAAAATCTCATTTTTAGCTTGTAGACCCTATAGAGGTCACAATTTTTATACGCCCACATTTTCATGTGGACGTATTATGCCGTCACCCCTGTCCGTCAACAATTCTTATCCGATTTTGACGAAACTTGAAATATAGGTTTATCCCCAAAAGATCTCGGCTGCGTTCGATATTGGCATGTATCGGATCGAAACTTCATGGATTATGGCCCCTGATTGTACGAAAAATCACGTTTTTAGCTTGTGGACCCTATAGAGGTCACAATTTTTATCCGATTTTGTTGAAACTTGAAATGTAAGTTTATAACCCAAAGATCTCGGTTCCTTTCGATATTCCCTCATATCGGACCATAACTTCCTGAATTATGGCCCCTGATTGTACAAAAAATGGCGTTTTTAGCTTGTGGGCCTTATAGAGGTCATAATTTTTATCCGATTTAAAAAAACGTATTATTATATCACCGTTACACCCTAAGGACGGCTTAGTGTGAATTTCGTGAAAATCGGCCCAAAATTGACAGACAAAATGGCCGCTGTTCGTTCTCAAATAGCGTAAGAATATGGTATATCAAGGTTGTGGACCCTATAGAGGTCACAATTTTTATCCGATTTTGTTGAAACTTGAAATGTAAGTTTATAACCCAAAAATCTCGGTTCCTTTTAATATTTGTGCATATCGGACCGTAACTTCCTGAATTATGGCCCCTGATTGTACGAAAAATCGCGTTTTTAGCTTGTGGACCCTATAGAGGTCATAATTTTTATCCGATTTAAAAATACGTTTAATTATATCACCGTTACACCCTAAGGACGACTGAGTTCAAATTTTTCGTGAAAATCGGCCCAACATTGACAGACAAAATGACCGCCATTCATTCGCAAATAGCGTAAAAATATGGTATATCAAGGTTGTGGACCCTATAGAGGTCACAATTTTTATCCGATTTTGTTGAAACTTGAAATGTAAGTTTATAACCCAAAGATCTCGGTTCCTTTCGATATTCGCGCATATCGTACCGTGACTTCCTGAATTATAGCCCCTGATTGTACGAAAAATCACTTACTTTTTAGCTTGTTCTCTATCCACCTCTATCTATTGCGTTTTTAGATTGTGGACCCTATAGAAGTCATAATTTTTATCCGATTTAAAAAACTGTATTATTATATCACTGTTACACCCTGAGGACGACTGAGTTCGAATTTCTTGAAAATCGGCCCAAAATTGAC